GAGGGTCTTACTATGTATCCCTAGCAGGCCTCCAACTCAGAGATCCTTTTGCTTCTGCTTCTTGAGTTGCTGGGATTATAGGCAAGAGTTGCTCTGCCTAGCTTAAAGGTCTTCTTAAAAACAAAATGAAAAAAAAAAAAATCTTTCCTTTGAGACAGAGCTTCTCTGTATGGCCCTAGCTGTCCTAGAACTTGCTCTATAGACCAGGCTGGCTTTGAACTCACAGAGATCTGCCTGCCTCTACCTCCTGAGTGCTGGAGTTAAAGGTGTCCACACAAATAATTTTAGGGCAGCTTTTGGTGTATAGCAGAACAGAAAGAAAGTACCAAGATTCTCCAAATCCCTTTTTCCCTGTCTTTGCACTTGCCTTACTCCTATTGACACTGCCCACAGGGGTTTACTTGTTTAACTGATCCTACATAGATATTATTGTCATGCAGAGTTTATAGTATACACCAGGCCCACTTGTTGTTGTGCTTATTTTAGGTTTAGGCTGCCATGAAGATCATATTCTACCCATCCCCATTTCCCACTCACTTGTTTTAGTCTCAGACCATCTTCTCTCCTCATAGTTTTACCTTTTCTAGAATGTCAAATGCAGCTAGTTGAAACCATGCAGCTGATACAGATTGAGTTCCTCTGTTTTACTTGAACCTTATTTAATAACATACATATTTCATTTACATATAGACACACACACACACACACACACACACACACACACACACACACACACACACACACACACACACGCGGAGAGAGGGAGGGAGGGGGTAATCAAAAAACATCATCTTGAAGATTTCAGATAGATTGTTGTTAGTGTTTTCGTATTGTTCCCCAGTAAGAAGGCACCTATTTTTTTCCTTTTGTTACTGAGTTTTTGGTTTGAAATTGGGCTATATCCTCAAAACTGAAAGTAAGGTTTTTCCAGTTCAGCCCTTTTGTTGTCATTCAGTAGTTAAAGATAGGAAGCTCATAGATTGGTGATGATTTGAAATTCCATTTAAAACCAGAATAATAAGTCTTTACCAGTCCCTTTTTTTCTCCTAAGAGGTAAGTTTGCGTGCGTGCGTGCGTGCGTGCGTGCGTGCGTGCGTGCGTGCGTGCGTGCGTGCGTAAAGATATTGGGTAGGTAGTAGCAGCCTCCTTACTAAAAGGAGAAAGGTCAGTGTTTAGAACAGGTATGGTAGTTGTAGTGTGTGTCATTCTTCTGATGGTTGTAACAGTAAGATTCTTACTGCCTTTCATTTTTTTCAGCACCAAGCCCTGACTGGGAGCCTAGTGGTGGGGGCTGGCAGTGCCACAGAAGCCGACCCCTTTAAGAGGCAGCAGGTGATGCCACCCACAGGTATGCCCAACCTGGCCAACAGTACAGTGATGGTTTAGTTGCCACATGTTTCTAAAGAACTTAACTTCTACTTTCTAAGTCAATTTTTCTTTTGATTATTATCAACCCAAATATTTGCATAAATTTTTATATGTATTGAAGTTAGAAAATTCAGTTGATCTGTACATCCATCTGCTTTCCCATGAGCAACCACTATGGTATGATTTATTGTTAGCGCTGCGTAGTCACCTTCGGAAGCTATTTTTTAAACTGCCATGCCACCCATCGCCCCCAATAATGTGATGACACTTTTTTTGTTGTTTTTTTTTGTTTGTTTGTTTTTCAAGACAGGGTTTCTCTGTGTATCACTGGCTGGCCTGGAACTCACAGAAATCCTCCTGCCTGTGCCTCCCCAGTGCTGGGATTAATAGTTGACATCACCACTGCCCATCACTTTTTTCTTTTTCCTTTTTTTTTTTTAACTGAGAGGCTCAGGTAGTTCAGAAGGTGACACATAGCTGCCTCTGCTTCTTCTGCAGCCACAGCAGGGGCTGCTGTCAATATTTTATGATTGTCATAGACTTTTTTTGTACACACCAAACCTCTATACATGTGAGTTATTCTGAAAAAAAGTAAAATGTAAACACACAGATACAGAGTTGCTTTTTAAAAAATTATGAGCATAATAGTCCACTTTCCCAGTCAGTGCATCTGAATCTTCTGGTGTCTGCATCGTGCTCCACTGTGTGGAAGGATTTTTTTTTTTTTTTTTTTTAAGATACTGTCTCATGAGACCTGGCTGGCTTGCAACTCTCGATGTAACTCAGGTTGGCTTTGAACTTGGAGGGAACCTCCTGCCTCTGGCTCTCCAATGCTGGGTTTACAGGTGTGTGCCAGTACACATGGCTTTGGACAGTTGACTTTTATCAGTCTTTGCTAGTCTTCCCTGTTTATTACTACATTTTTTTGTTGTTGTTGTTGTTTTGTTTTTCTGCCAGAATGAACAGAGACTTGACATATAGTCTGAAATGTTCATTTGACATATCTGGTAGCTGATTTGAAGGAACAGCCTCTTGAATGAACTGGCAGGTCCCAGAGGAGTGAGATGTAGTGCTGCTCTCTCAAACTGCCTGCCAGCAGGCATGTCCAGTTCCACCACTGTTAACAGTTTCTGGCTCTCTCATATTTTGTCCATTTTCCTTATTGATAAATTTTGTAATCTTTGGTGGTCTGACCTAAGGGTAAATTTATACCTCCTGTTTTGATGTGGATGTCTGATTCTGAGTAAGGTTGCATAGGAGCTTTTATTGCTCATTAACCATTTGTGAATCTATCCCTGGCTCGCTGTTGATGTTCTCTGTCACTTGTCCTGGGCATTGAAACTTCTCATGTTATTTGTGAGTGCTTTGAGAATGATTAAGTGAGCCTCTGCCAGTCATGTGTTTTAATGTCTCTCAGTTGTTGCTTCTCCTTTGACCTTTGTATGATGCTTTTCTTTGTATTTTCAAATTTTTAATGAAACTGTCAGTCTTATCCCTTATAGCATAGAAGGGCTTCCCTTTTCAGAGATTATAAAAACACTTACATATGTTTTTTTTTCCCTGCTACTTCTGTGGTTTTATTTTTACATGAAACAACACCTTTCTTGAAAATTATTCTAGAGCAGTCTAAGAGACCTCGTCTTGAAGTGGGTCATCCAGGGGTAGTTTTCCAGCATCCAGGGGTGAATGCAGGAGTCCCTCTGCAGCAGTTAATGCCGACAGTCCAAGGTAAGACCCAGCAGTAGAGCAGCACTCCTAGTTTGTCATGAGGGATTGCCCAAAACCTAGTGCCAGGCCCAGATTGGGGCCATGCAGTCAAGGGAGTATACTGGCCATGGAGTTTCCCATGTGGGGACATGTCTCTGTATCTCTGTTAATTCAGTATTGAGAAAGCCCCTGGAGACAGGTTCTTTTCATTCTAGTGGGAGCCAGTGGGAGCCTCACATTTCCACATTGTGCTTTCCAGTGATTTTATTTCTGTGTTCCTTATTGCTATTGCTGTCAGGCGCCCTGTGGTTATTTGATGCTTGTTTTGCTTAGTACTAATTTGCAATAGTTGGGTGCATTCTTTCCTTCTTTGTGTGCTCATCCTGACCGTAGGTCTGCTCTAGGATACTCCCATTTTGAGTGTAACAGTTCTCAATGTGAGCAATAGTAGGATGTCCAGTGTGTGTCCTTGTGAGTCACTTGGTGGAAGCTGTTATACACTGAGATCATTGCTTTGGGCTCTATTTTTATTTTGCAGGAGGGATGCCCCCAACTCCTCAGGCTACTCAGCTCACTGGACAAAAACAGAGCCAGCAGCAGTACGACCCTTCCACAGGGCCTCCTGTGCAGAACGCCGCCAGCTTACATACCCCACCGCCACAGCTCCCCGCGAGGCTGCCCACAGCCAGTGTCCCAGCCACAGCCCTCCCTTCCACCTTACAGTTTTCACAGCAGTCACAGATGGTGGAAGCTCCAACGCAGCTCCAAATCCCAGTGAAGACTCAACAGCTGAATGCCCCCATTCCTCCCCCCATGCCCAGCCAGCTTGCTGCTCCTCCTCAACAGCCCGCTCAGCCAGCCCTCCACGTTCCGATGCCAGGGAAGGCGCAGATGCAGACCTCTCAGCTTTCTTCCCAGACCCAGGTACTCTGTGGACATTGGCTGTTTTGACTAGTGAGGTGCAGAAGAAAAGAGGAAACGTTCTGCAAAGGTGGCTTGCCATTTAGGTATTTGGTAGTATGGTCTGCACTGAACCCGCACATTCCCGGGAGCAGCTTTACTTGCCCTCTTAGCACAGTTGGTTATTGTAGCAGTTCTATTTGGCTCTGTAATAACAATCATTAAAGTAATAGAAAATCATTATTATTGTTGCTCTTAGTAGAGGGAGCCTCAACCTGTTGAGTCACATGCTGTATGGAGCGCGTTGTATTCGTCACCCCATTTGGTATTCTGGGAACCCTTAGATGGTGACCAATTTTGCCAGTCTTGACAGTTGTGGGACTGACCCAAAGTGACATGGATGAAGTGATAATTCAGAGTTGACTCCAGCTTTGTTTAAGGGTGAAGCCAGGATCTTCACCATCAGCTAGGCTTTCTCCTTTGCTGCCTCCTTTCCCTTTTTTCCAATGTGATGAATTCCACCAGTGTGGAAGGCACTGTGCCTGTTGTAGTGTTGAGGATGCTGCTCCTCCTCACTCACTTTACTATAGTCTCTGGAGTCCAGTGGGACTGTGTGTAGCATTGCAGACACACCAGCTTTAGAGCATATATGGGAGTCAGTGAGTGTTGGGCCTCTCTGCTCTCACCTCCCTCATATTAATAAGGAAGCTACTCAAGAGAGCTTTAAGTTCTAGTTAGGATTTATAGCAAAGACTTAAAATGGATGGGCACAGAAAAGGAAACACAATCTGTATTGACTACCATGTGCTGTGGTGGGGACTTCAACTTTGCGAAGTGGGATTTGCTATTCCCATCAGGTCACAAGGTTAAAAACTTGACGTGCCATCAACTAAGTAAGTACCTTTGCTTATTCTAGATCTTTGAGGCAGGTAGGTATGGAGAACTCCTACACACTTGGTTAGGGGAGGAGAGTGATTGCCCCAAGGGCCATTAAGCTCTGTCCTCATGGCTGGTGCCCCCCCCCCCCCAAGACAGAGTTTCTCTGTATAACAGAATTGGCTTTCTTGGAACTCACTTTGTAGATCAGGCTGGCCTCAAACTCACAGAGATCTACCTGCCTCTCCCGAGTACTGGGATTAAAGGTATGTACTACTATACCAGGCTCACCATGCCAAATGGCTTTGCTTTCAAGAGAGTAACCTTCCTTTTCTTGGAGTCACAGTCCTTACTTAGAATAGCACTGTGGTTTTCTTACCTTTGTTTCATGCCTTTGTTGTTAAAAGGATCAGCTATGCCATCCTGGTCTACAGAGGGTGTTTCAGGTCAGCCAAGACTACACAGAGAAACCCTGTCTTGAAAAAAGCCACCCCCCAAACCCTTTCCCAAACAAAAACAAAACAAAACTGTGTCAGCTATAGTAAATGGCTTTTAAGGAACTGTTGAGGGTTTGAGAGACGCTGTAGTGGTTAAGAGCACATAATCTTGCAGAGGACCTGAGTCCAGTTCACAGCATCTGCATTGGGTAGTTTACAATCACTTGTAAGACTAGTTCCAGGGATTCTGATATCCTCTTGTGACTTCCAAGGGCACCTATACCCATGTGCACATACATACCCACACAGAAACACATACATGCCCACAAAGTAATTTAAAATCTTAAAAAACAAAACCAAACCATAAATCTAGAGAAACCCATTACTACTTGGACCTCATAGCACAGGTCTGTAATCCCAGCTATTTGGGAGATTAGAATAGGACAATTACAAATTCAAGGCTAACTTGGCCAATTTAGACAGATCCCATTGAGAAAAGTGAAAAGAAAGCTGAGTAGACTGTTTGCCTAGTCTGTCTGAGGCCCTAGGGTCAACCTCCAGTATTGTGGGAGAGACCCTTATTTCTTATGGTTTGGGCTGGTATTAGCCCCTGTTTTGTATAAAGGGCCATGAAAGAAATTTTCTGGTTTTGCAGGCCATTCTGCTTCTGTTGGTCCCTCAGCTTTGTTCCTCAAAACATAGCTGCAGATAATATATGAGTGAGTAAAGGTGGCTATCCTCCCATAAAATTTTATTTCTATATGTATGTACCTGCTGTGACTTCTGGGCCCCTGAGGGTAGATACTCGCTGTTGGGGGGGTCATTGTTAAATCTTGAGACTATGTCTGCTGAGTCTTCCTTGCCCTGGTGGTCCCGACTGGCCTTCCTGCCAATCTCTTCCCTGGCCTTCACCTCTCTTTAAGTGGCTTCCACTCTGGGCCCCTGGGAGAACTTCGCACAGCCTTGCTGGGGTTGAGGCCCCTTTTGTGAGCATGGCTTCTGGACAGTACAGAAAAGTTTTCTACCTCTCCAATCTTCTTGCCACAAGAGACATACATGGATCTGTTAAAAAGATGCAAGATGCCAAGCTTGGATATGGTGGAGCTGTATTATAGAATCCAGGCACTCAAGAAGCTGAGGCAGGAGGATGGAGAGTTCAAGGCCAGCCTGAGCTACACTACTGAGTTCTTGTCTCTAAAAAGTATACATAAAAATAGTAAGCTTACCTGACATTTGAGTGATGATGTTACATGAAAATATAATACAAATAAAAATCTAGCTTAGCATTGTATTATTCATTTTTCTACAGCTAAAACAGTCCTGTGTGGTTTTTATTTTACTTTGAATTAAGGGATGAAGGGACTTCTGGTTCCATGGTTTAAGGGTACAACCCATTATGAAGGGGAAGGTGTTTGGTCATTTTGTACATACAGTCAGTGAGCAGAGAGAGATGGATGCAGGTGCTCAGTCCTATGGCTTTTATCCAGTTTCCTTTTCTGTGACTTCATGATCAAAGCAACTGCCTTTCCTTCCTTAAATGCCTCTAAATACAAATTTTAATTCTGCATAAACGAAAAATAAAACTTGCCAATCCAGACCCAAAAGCATTACAAGAAATTAAAACAGCACCACTTTTCAAAATGCAAGGAAAAAGCTGCATATGATGGTGTGTATGTGTAACCCCAGCCCTCAGAAGACTGAAGCAGGAAGATACAGTTCAAGGCTTCCTTAGGCTCTATAATCAAGGTTTTTTGTTTTGTTTTTAATTACCTTTTAAAAGTAAGAGAAAAAAGCTGAAGAAGAGGAAAAGCTTCCATGAGGTCTGAGATAATGTAGCAGGGTACTAAAGTGCAGTTTATAATGGAGCTTGTCTTAGGTTCTTTGTAGTACAACAATTTAATCTTTGGACAATATCTAGCTTGTGGTTCTGAGTTGTGGTTTGTGATGGGATTAATTTTGTGTGCATGTGTTGCCATGGAGAGGAAGGCACTGACTGAGCTGGCCTGTGTCGGCTGAGCTTTCTGGCGTTTGGGCACTCTGAACCTGTGGAAGCCTTGTCCTGATCCTGATTCACTTGTCTTCTGCCCACTAGACAGTGGCATCGACCAGGCCCCCCCTGGACTCCACCCAGCCCTGCCAGCGGTCTCTGCCCACTTCCTCTTCTTCCTCATCCCTTGTATCCGGGAGTGGCTCAGGCCCTGGACCCTCGCCTGCTCGTTCTTCACCAGTGAACAGACCCTCTTCTGCTACCAGCAAGGCTCTGTCTCCCATCACTTCCCGGTCTCCAGGGGCAGCAGTGTCAGCTCCCCCCAAGCCACAGAGTCCTGCTCAGAATGCAGCCTCATCGCAGGATGGTTCTCAGGATAAGCTGGCAGAACAAATAACACTGGTAAGTGTGCTTAGGCAAATACAGAACATATTTGTTTGGTTTGTTTGTTTGGGGGAATCTTCCTGTTTTCTAGACTAACCCCTCATTTCTGGGTTAGGGCGATCTTGCTCCCGACTTGGCTAAGGGAGTAGATGAACAAAATAAAGAGGTATTTCATCAAATAACACAGCCAGAATTCAGCTTATATTTTGGTTTGTGATTTACATTTCATTTTATTGTTTTAAGACTGTTATAGTTTAAAACTGATCATTAGAAACCAGGACTGGGACCAAATAATGCAGCCTTCTCTGCTCGAAGTAGACTCATGAACATCTATGCCTTGCAGTAAAATTGAACATGGTGGGCTGATTTCCTTCCAGTCATGGCTGTAGGTGGGAGTCAGGCAGTAGTGACAGACTGTAGCCCCATCCTCATGCTCAGTACTTAGTTCTTGTTGGATGACTATTTTGTGCAGTTTCATCAGGGATTTAAAATAAGCATGTATTACATTTGATTGACATAAACTAAGTGTGTCTCATTTTCTGGCTTGGTGTTAGTTCTGTGGCCAGTCCTCACTGATTCTTCTTCCTAGTTGTTTTTGTTTGTTTGTTTGTTTGTTTGTTTGTTTGTTTTTCAAGACAGGGTTTCTCTGTGTAGCTTTGTAGACCAGGCTGGCCTCAAACACACAGAAATCTGCCTGCCTCTGCCGCCCGACTGCTGGGACTAAAGGTGTGCCCACCACTGCCCAGCTTCTTCCAGGTTGTTTTAAAGCAAATTCCTGGCATGGTTGTTTCCCTTGTAGATACTTTGATTCTTTGGTGTAAACACTGGTCCTTTTGGTTTCCGTCTAACTTTTTTTCTTTTTCTAGTGGTGCTGAGGGCTTGAACCCAGAGTCTTGAGATGCTAGGTGGTTGTTTTACCACTGAGGTTTTTTTTTTCCTTTCTGAGACAGTTTCTCTGTATTGTTTTGGAGCCTGTCCTGGAACTTGCTCAGTAGACCAGGTTGGTCTTGAACTCACAGATATCCGCCTGCCTCTGCCTCCCGAGTGCTGGGATTAAAGGTGTGTGCCACCAATACCCGGTTTACCACTGAGTTTTACACCTGGGCCATTTTCTTTTGCTCTTTAGAGACAGCAAGATCACTACTGCTTGTGTTCCTTGAGTCTGGGAGACTCTGACACAATAGGGTTTAGCACAGTACATTTAATTACATGCTAACCCTTATCCCACACATCCATGTTTCTTACAGGAAAACCAGATCCATCAGCGAATAGCAGATTTAAGGAAGGAAGGTTTGTGGTCCTTAAGGCGGCTGCCAAAGCTTCAAGAAGCTCCTCGCCCTAAATCTCATTGGGATTATCTACTGGAAGAGATGCAGTGGATGGCCACAGATTTTGCCCAGGAGCGGAGATGGAAGTTGGCTGCTGCTAAGAAGGTAGGTTTGAAACTGGGGTGGTGATTCATGCTTTGTGTCTTTTGGAGTAGTTGGGATTTAAGTTGCTTTAACTGAGCCAGGCCCTGGCCTTAAATAGTGGTGGTATATACCTTTAATCCCAGCACTCTGGAGGCAGAGGCAGGCAGATCTCCCTGAGTACTATGTGTCTTGGTCTACATGGTGCGTTCCAGGACAGCCAGGGCTATACAGAGAAACCCTGTCCTGAAAAAAATAAAAAAAAATAAAAAAATTGCTGGAAGTGGCAGTGGATAGGACTCCTGCCCCATTCTCTAAAGACTGGAATCCTAATGTGTGGAGAAACCATCTTCTGTTGAATAGTGGAAACTCAGAGTCTGAGGTTGGGTTCCTTTTCCTTCCAGTTTGCTTGCCAGCTAGTATTAGGATGCTTTTAGGACACTCAGAGATGGTCAGGTGATTGAAGAGGCTGGAAGTTAGGAATGCCAGGCATAAGATGCTAGGCAGTATGATCGTCCTCTGTGTTGGTGTTTTGTTTCAGTTATGAGTAAAGTAGATGGAGCAGGAAACCATGCTTCAGTCACTGGTAGATGAAAACACAAACCACGAAACTCAACAAACCCATGTGGAGTTTATTGGAGGAAGGGGTGAGGGAACAAAAGGGGGGTGCAGAAGCGGAGAAGTGAGACAGAGAGAAGAGAGAGGGCAAAGGGGAGAGAGAGAAGAGAGAAGAGAACATGGAGGTGCCCACTTGAAAGGGAAGCTTGTGCACACGTGTACTGAGTCCTTATGTAGCCATGATGTGGCCATGCAACACAGGGCTCTTTGAGCTGCCTAAGTATCTACCTGAATGTCAATATGCGTGTCTCGCCCATTGTCAGGGGGAGGGGTCAGCCTAATGTGGGGTCCCAACAATCTCACCTCTTCTTATTAAAAAGGTAGGGAGGGGCAGTAGTGGTGCATGCCTTTAATCCCAGCACTTGGGAGGCAGAGGCAGGTGGGAGCCCTGTGAGTTCAAGGCCAGCCTGGTCTGTAGAGGGAGTGCCAGGATAGGCTCCAAAGCTACATAGAGAAACCCTGTCTTGAAAAACCAAAGGGGGGAAAAAAAAAGATGGGGAGTTAGGCATGGCAGGTTAGGGAATAAGGGTGTCAAGTTCTCTAGACTGCTTCCTGCTGACCTGGTGTGGGGGGCATTGACCATCTTGGGGGGAACCGAGAATGCTACGTCCTGGGAGCTGGTTGTTACGTTGCAGTCCTGGCTGTGTGGCACTCTGGCTGGCACCTCTTTAGACCTGGCAAGATGTTGGCCGAGCAGAGGACAAGGCCAAGTTTAGAAAAAAATTTTCTTCTTAGGTCCTCCTGGTACTTGAGGGGAAGATTGTAAGATGAGGGAGGGAGTTCTGGGATAGGGGAAAGATTGAATAATATTTATCTGGAGTGAATCTGACCTGTTTGAGTCGGTCCAATTTGGCTTCCTGGAACTTACAAGAATCCTAAGTTTGTGAAAACATAAGTTTTAGTCACATTAGCAGTATACTTATGTCAGAAATGATTTGGTTAAAAGCATTAACACTTTTAAAACTGACATATCTTTAGGACAATGAAAAGCACCTTAATCTTGACCTTGCAGTTACCTTATAGTGTTATAGTATCTTGTTTAGTACCCTGTCAGAGTTGGATTAATACCATATCAGAACTTTATTGATTAATGTTAAGACTGTGAACAGTAGCATTATAAGAGAGAAAGAAATCTGATAACTTGCATTTGTATACCTTTAGTAAGTTTGTTATACCTTAAAACATTTTTAGATTGATACATCTTAAGCTTTTATGTTCCTACATAAACGTTATACCTTAAAACATCTTTTTAAACAAAGGAATGGTAAGATGTTATACTGAAACCTACCAACCATCAAACTGCATCAGAGTTCTTGAGAAGGATAAAATTTTACCTGAATTAATGATTAGAGAGTAACAGAGACTTGCTAGCTGGCTGCATGGACAGTCACCCCCAGATCCACAGGTGTTAAGGTCAAAGGCTTTAGGGACACCCACGTTCTGCTGATTGAGTGAGACCTGTGGATTAGGAGCCCTACGAAGACTTGTCTACTGTTGGTCCAAGCAACATGGAGAAAGTCGATTCCACTGTCCTCTTGTCCTTGGTCCGAAGAGTCCTTTGGAAGGCAGGATTTCTCAGTGGCTAGTGTTGTCACTTTTGTGGGTGGAGTTTCTTCAGTGTCCAGTCATCTTGGAGGAAATGGGGTGGGGTCAGCAGTTGGCCTGTCTCTCTGTTATAAAAAGCACTGTATTAAAACATTTTAAATGCCATAGTCTCTAGATCTCTGAGCATTTGAGGACTGTCTGTTTAGTATATCTCAGCAGACAGAATTTGTCTGTTTTAGTTATTTGCCTTAAGCACATGGGTGGCTAGGTAAGGCTTTATCCCTATAATTGATCTGTATTTAGTATGGCTACAATGACATTAGGGTAGGATCTGTCAGGAGAACTGGATTGAAGCTGAATGGTTGTGGAGGGATGTTTTACTCAGAGCCCTCCAGCCTGACTGTAACTGGTTTTAATTTAGTAGGTTTGATTAACACCTGTAAAGGACAAAGTAGTAGAGAAAATCCCTTTTGTAATAGAATCTTAACCTTTGTAAACAGCTTATAGGAAGGACTGGGTGGTGTAAATATTTTGTTAATTTGAAATAGATCTTTATAATCTTAAATGTTTACCATCATTTAAAGATAAACAACAATTTGGAATTATTTGAGACAGTACAGTTGCATTTAAGTTGCATATAGAGTTAGCTTACATTCACATATATAAAGTTAAATTTAAATGACATGTACAGATATATACACAGATATATCAAGCAGGACCGGGTGAAAGTAAGAAGGAAGAATTAGAGTGTGATCTCTGATTCTCATGTTACAGCAAACAGACAGGACATTTAAGGAGACAGAGTAGACTTAAAACTCCCAGTGACAAGAAAGCAGATCCATGCAGATGGAGCAGTAAAGTTTGTTGGCAGAATCTGGCTAGACTATCTAGACTGTCCCTTTGCGTAGGCCAAGGGAAGGGAGTGGGCGGGCCTACAGCTAGGCCACATGGCAAAGATGGCAGCCTCCATAAACACATTCCTGTCCTGGGACAGGATACAGCTGTGGCAGGCAGGAGAGTTTTAGCATGCCGGGAAGAGGAGGGACACAGACAAGTTTAAGGAAAGAGATTGTTTAGCAGAGAGGTAGAAGAAAGCTTGGATATGTGGTAACTCCTTACATTTAACTGTCCACTGTCAATAATTGAAACGGTCCTGTAAAATACCAGGATCTAAAAAGCCGTTAAACAGCCAATTTGACTTATATTTTCCATGGGTGAGGCCGAAAATGGCATAAGTCGCTCTTACAGCTTGTCACCTCAGGAGTGAGGGCCAAGGGGCAAAGCCCGATAGGACTCCATAGCCCAAGAGAAGACAGTAATCCATAACTGCTGAGGGCATGAAGCCAAAAGTCTGAAGGCACCACTTAGAGAGGGCGGTGCTAGATCTCATCCTAGGAAATCTACCAGAGATAGATAAGTGAGAGGGAAACAGATAAGTGAAAAAGAGCAGAGGCCACACTTCCAACTATGGATCACTGGTAGAATGTAGGGTGCCAATAAGTGGGCACATGGTTTGATATGGGGGGCCCAGCTTCCATGAGAGAGGTAGAGAAGATCCAAAGTTTATAATCTCCAGCGTCCCAGAGACTAAGGGAGGATTGGATACAAAAGGCACTGACTGATTTTGTAGTCCTGAGCACAAATCAGGGGCCAGAGCTCCGAAAGCCTGAGAGACAAGTGGTCACCCAGTACTGGGATTTTTGAGAGACTACAGTCTCGATACGAGTCCTAACCCATGGAAGCATGGGCAGTGGTAGAGAATGATGGCTGGGCTTACCAGACATGGCAGTGGTGGATGGAAGAATCCAGAGATCTTTAGTTGGAAAAGTGACTGAGTTGAAGGGTACAGGGTTCCGGCATATCTCGGACTGCCACAGAAAGGAGCAAATGACAGGAAAACCTGCCAAGTTACATGCAACAAAATGTTGTTCTTTTGAATCAGTTATGTGCAGGTAGAGTAGATGGAACAGGAAACCATGCTTCTGTCACAGGTAGATGAAAACGGGAACCATGAGACTCAACAAACCCATGTGGAGTTTATTGGAGGAAGGGGTGAGAGGACAAGGGGGGCACAAGTGGAGGCGGAAGGGGGAGAGAGAGAGGGAGGGAGGGAAGGAGAGAGACAGAGAGGGAGGGAGGGAGAGAGAGAGAGAGAGAGAGAGAGAAAGAAAGTGAGCGCACGATTGAGAGAACATGTGGAGGGGCTTGCTTAAAAGGGAAAGCTTGCACATTCATACTGAGTCCTTATGCAGCCCCACAAGGTGTGACATAGCCATGAGCTACTTTGAGCTGCCTAAGTATCTGCCTGAATGCCGACATGCATATCCTGTCCATTGTCAGGGGGCGGGGTCAGCATAATGTTGGGTTCCAACACTCTGCCTTCACTTTTGCCCCTGGTGTGTCACTGCTTAACTCTGTGGCTGAGCTGTCTCTGGTTCTGGTGCAGACTTTGGTCCTTTTGTTGTTCCCATACTAGGCATAATCCTTCAGAGACTTGTGAGGTGGTACTATTCACTCTATAAAAATGAAAATAAGAAGATAGGTTTCTGGAAAACTTTGGCCTCTTAGCTATCCTTTCATTATGTAGGCAACTACACTTTTTTTTTTTTTTTATTAGTTCAAGTTAGGGAACAAGCTTGTTTCACATGTAAGTCCCTTCTCCCTCTCCCCACTCCCATCCCTCCTCCCCCACCCCCAACCTATGTGGGATGGGCTCTCAAAGTCCCTTCTTACACCAGGGAAAAATACTAATCCACTACCAGAGGCTCCCTGGAGTACAGAGGCCTCCTTATTGGCATCCATGTTCAGGGGTCTGCATCAGTCTGCAACTACACTTATTATCACACATCATGGACCATTGTTTTCACACCCAGACCTTGGATATTTTCTTCACCTTCCTTGTACTCAGGGTTGGGGTAGATCCTTTGTCCCCTGACCTGTGCACTTCCATCTTTGAACTTCCTTCTTTCCTCATCTGGTTTAAGAAGGGAAAACTTGAGACAAAGGGTCTCAGGGTAGATCCATGGACATAAAAAAAAAAAAAAAAAAAAAAAAAGCCCAAAGCTGCTGCTGCTGCTGCTGCTTTTTTTTTTCTTTCTTTCATTTTTTTTTTTTTTAAAGATTATTTGTTATGTATACAGTGTTCTGCCTGCATGTATCCTTGCAGGCCAGAAGAAGGCAGCAGATCTCATTACAGATGGTTGTGAGCCACCATGTGGTTGCTGGGAATTAACTCAGGACCTCTAGAAGAGCAGCCAGTGCTCTTAACCTCTGAGCCATCTCTCCAGCCCCTAAAGCTTCTTAAATATTTGTTACAAAGGAAAATGATTCTGGACATGTGAATACCAACCTGGATAGGATGGACATGTAGCTAGTGGGAGAAACATGTGGGTAATGGGATGGACACATGGACTGGTATGGACAGGGTGGAGATTGGATTCCAGGTTGGGCAGACAAGAACTAGGTGATGGGGTAGGGTAGGTAGGCTGAAGATCAGCACAGAATTAATAGGCCATAAAGAGGGATCAGTTCTGCTCATTAACCCTTCCTTCTCACTTTGACAGAAACAGACACCATCTCCAAGGAGAGCTTTTAAGGAAGCCATCAGAGGGTTGGCAAGAGACTAGGACTAGTGCATGGTGTCATTGTAGTTAAGTGGTTTTCTTTCTCAGATAGGGTAGAATAGTGGTTGTTGGTTTGTGCTCTGTGCTGAATGAATTCTTTCCTTCAGTTATTGTCCCTACTTTGTGGAGCTGCTACTGGCAAGCACATAGAGTATTCCCATTAGGAACACAGACTGATAAGTTAGAAATAGAATATTGGTCTGGATAGATGGTTCAGTGGTTAAGAGCATTGTTGCTCTTTCAGAGGCCTTAGATGCAGTTCCCAGATCCACTTGGGGACCCAAACCAGAGTCTTGTGCCTTCTCCTTCTCTTTTGATGGGTATAAAATGACTGTACACAATAAACATGGGTGGTTCAGTATTCACTGGATGCCCTCCTGACTCATCTCTTGTCTCCTGTCTATTCCTTTCCTCAATCCACACTCCCCCTCTCAGTCATGAACAACTTGTGGGAGTTGCCTCTTTCCATTCCATATGGCTCTTGGGGAATGAAACTCAAGCCATTAGGCTTGGTACCAAGTGCCTGTACTTGGCTGACTCATCTTGCCAATCTGAGTATAACATATTCTTGAACTTTTCTTCACCAGCTTGTCAGAACGGTTGCCCGGCATCATGAGGAAAAGAAACTTCGTGAGGAAAGAGGGAAGAAGGAAGAGCAGAGCAGACTGAGACGCATTGCTGCCACCACTGCCCGTGAAATAGAATATTTTTGGTCAAATATTGAACAGGTAATTCAGTGGGATCTAAAAAAAAAAAAAGAAAAAAAAAATCAAACATGTCCAAGCTGTGAGGCTGCGTGCCAGGGAACACAGCAGCTCCAGCATTCATGTGTGTGCACCCAGAGGCTTTGTGCTCACTTGCCCCTTTTTGTTGTTAGCCTTCTGCAAGTTTTAGAATGAGGCCATTCCGACCTCTTGGTTTACACTTATACCTGTGGAAGCCACAGCTTTGAAATGAGAATGTAGTGAAGGCCTGTCAGGTTGTTAATTGGTATGTTGTGGCCGTGAAAGGCAAAGTCTTTAGGATATCTGCTCCCATATGTACATTCTCTCTTTTAAGAACTTTGAAATTGGGCTGGAGAGATGGCTCAGAGGTTAGAGCACTGCCTGCTCTTCCAGAGGTCCTGAGTTCAATTCCCAGCAACCACATGGTGGCTCACAACCATCTGTAATGAGATCTGGTGCCCCCTCTGGCCTGCATGTATCCATGCAGGCAGAATACTGTATTCATAATAAATAAATACAAATCTAAAAAAAAAAAAAAAACTTTGAAATTTTTACTACCTTACAGAATTTGAGCAGGATAGACTAGGATACAAAATAAAGAAGGAAGCACCAAACTGAGTTTTTTTCCTTAAATATTTTGAATGAGGTTGGCTGTTAGTGTAAGTTTAATGTGTTATGTGTAGAATTGTACAGTTTACATCCTTAATGGCTTGCTTATCTCGTCATCCTTTTTTATCTATTTAGGTTGTGGAAATAAAACTACAAGTAGAATTAGAAGAGAAAAGGAAAAAAGCCTTAAATTTACAGAAAGTTTCCAAAAGAGGTATGGTATTGAAATTTTTTTTTATTACATTTATTTATTTAAAGTGGGATGGGGGAAGACACATGTGCACCATGGCATGTGTAGAAGTCAGAGGACAATTTTCAAGAGATGGTTCTCTCCTTCTATCATGTGGGTCCTAAGGATCAGACTCAGGCAGTCAGGCTTGACAGTAAGGGTCCTTATCTTCTGACCTGTCTGGCCCAGAAAGATAGGTCAGAAGAGAAGGTACAGACCCTTACATATGTATATATATGTGTGTATGTACAGTGTGTGTGTATTTTTTTTTTTTTTTCCAAGTTAGCCCTGGCTATCCTGGAACTTGCTTTGTAATCAGACTGGCCTTGAACTCACAGAGATCCACCTGTCTCTGCCTCCCCAGTGCTGAGATTAAAGGCGTGCGCCACCACCATCCAGCATTTTAAAATATTTTTAAAGGTTTATTTATTTATTTTGTATATGAATGGATGAATGTGTGCCACCACATGCCTGTTGAGGTCTAAGTACAATTTGTGAGACTTGGTTCTTCTTCTGTCATATGGGTTCTGGGGATTGGGTTTAGATTATCAGGCTTGCTGGCTTTTACTCATTGAACTGTCGTGCCAAGTTTTTAAGGTTAGTCTTTTTTTTTTTTTTTTTTTTTTTTGGTTTTTCAAGACAGTTTCTCTGTATTGCTTTGGAGCCTGTCCTGGAACTTGCTCTGTAGACCAGGCTGGCTTTGAACTCACAGAGATCTGCTGCCTGTGCCTCCCAAGTCACCAACGCCCAGCTAAGGATAGTCTTAATGAGTATCCGGTATAGAGTACTCATCTAACATTTGTGAGACCTTGCATTTACTTTACAGGATATGTACATACAAGCTTCTCATTTTTCATGTTTTGTGCAGCTTTCTGGTTTTGGCTAGAGAGACCATGTGCATGCATTTGTTCTGCTTAATTATTTTTATTTTGTGTACACTAAGAGAGAGACATGAAGGGGGTGGGTGTTAGGGAAGAATAGGATCTCACTCTGTAGTCCTTGTTGGTCTGAAACTCAGGAAAGATTGACCTCCAGCACCTGAGTGCTGGGATTAAGAGATGTGCACCACTAAGCCCAGCAACAGCTTAGTTCTTTATCTCAGTTCTTTTGCTCTTTTTACTATGTATCAGTAACCCAAAGTTGGTCCATTCTGAATGCTTTCAGAATTTAAGTCCTGTTTCTGGAAAGTAAATAAATCATGATTTATCTTTTGGGGATCGGGCTGGTGCAGTGCCTTTGCACAACTGAGATATTTCTACAATAGGTCGGTCCCTCCCCCCCATCTTTGAATATTTAGGAAATGTGAGACACCAACACAAGTGGCACTCACTGTCTTCTCTAGTCCTTAGAATGTTCCAGGAGCCCCCATACCTCTCATATTATTGATGAGGGCGCAGGTTAAGAGGTGGCCATTGCTAAAGTTGTAGAATTGTAAAGTGAATGCTAGGCCCTATAAACTGAGAGCTAGACAAAGTTGCAGAAGTTTGAATCCCAACGCTTAGCAGTTAGAGGCAGGTGTTTGTGAATTTGAAGCTAGCTTGAACTCAGCTAGACTTTGACTCAGAAAACAAACAAACAAGCACAAAAAAAGAACCACAAGATGGAACCAGTTGTTCTGGGTTATCAAGAGGAATAAAGCTATGTTTAGTATGTAGGGGAGGAGGTGGAATTTGTACTTCTGTCCTTGAATGTTGATAGCCTTAGGACTTAGCTTGTATAAGCAGACAGTACTTGCTCAGTTAAAAAAGCATCATCTTGCTACAGCTTTGGTGATAATACTGTATTTCTTGTCTCTTTAGGGAAAGAGTCCAGATTAAAGGGATTTGATACATCACCAGAACACTTCCTAGTAAGTACAGGTTGTTGCTCTCTGACATGACTGGGCTTGTGAAATCAGTCTGCTTTGGAAATACAATGGTGTTGGATGGTGGGTGGTGCACGTCGTTAATCCCAATACTTGGAAGGCAAGTGAGTTTGAGGACAGCCATGGCAGAATGGTGCACAGTGAAATCATGTCTTGAAAAACAGAAAAACAAAAAAAGAAAATACAGTGGCACTTAATAGTTATAGTTTCACTTAGGGTATGACTGTGAATTTGAGAGGATGCAGTTGTATACAGTAATTAAGGATCTATATTCTCACTCCTGTTCTCTTTGGTGATTGCCTAGCAAGTGCTTTGATACTCTCCTGTGAGCATCTGCTAAATAGACACTTGTGCCTTGAGATCCCATTCTGTGTTGTTAAATTTCACATTTCTGACTTTTATTTTGTTTCAGGATCTAGGACTACCTGGGAGGAAAAGAAAAGCTAGCACATCTTTGACTGATGATGAAGGTTCGTTCCCTACTCCCTGATGTTTATTGGGGCCTTGAGATCACAAGCCTTAGGCATACACAGATGATCCAGGGCCAGGTCTGTTTCTGTCCTCAAGGAGTGAACTTGGTATGTTAGGGTAGATGTGCCTTTTGAAGGAAGACATGCTCACTGCCACCACATTCACCTGTCTGGGATCTTTTGGGAGGAGCCCCTGTCATGTTTAAATGTCAACACTTGGTTCAGAGTAGAACATAGATACAATTTTGGGGTGAGTGACTTGAGATCTGCCTGTGTCCATGGCTTCTGGCCTTTTTTTTTTTTTTTAAAGAGAGATTTGTTTATTATGTATACAGTATTCTGTCTGCATGTGTGCCTGCACACCAGAAGAGGGCACCAGATCTCATTATAAATGATAGTGAGCCACCATGTGGTTGCTGGGAATTGAACTCAGGACCTCTGGAAGAGCAGTCAGTGCTCTTAACCTCTAATCCATCTCTTCAGCCTGGCTTCTGACCTTTTTGCAAACAAATGTGTCCTGGCTTTCTGTTGTAGAAACAGAAAGGAAACAGAAATAGGGTATTAGAGGGAACACATAACAGTGTGTGATATCCCAGATCCTGGATGAGTGAGGCCCCAGTGGTCTCAGCAGCACTGTAACTTTACTAGCTTGACTGGCAGTGTGTAAACTTCCAGACTTTTGAAAGTTTGAGGTTTTAGTATGGGTTGATTCTTGTTTGGGAGAGTTTGGCCAAGTTATTAGTGTGGTAGCTGTTAGGATTGTTTCACTCCAAAAGATAAATAAATGAGTGACAGTGGCTCACAGGAGCTAGGAGCTTGGGTACCATTGCCTGGCACTGACATAGCAACTTGGTGTTCTTGAAAATGCCCTTGTCTCCCATTTGTTCCTGTGTCCTGGTTGTCTGTCTCTTCTTTTAGTTATTCTCAATGTGTTTTTACTACTCATACAGAGCTCTGACTGTTGATACTGAAGCTGGAGAAAGATGGTAGAGGTCAGAAGCAATTCTGGTGCCTCCACCCAAATAAATGTCCTCTTGGAAGGATTTAGGCTAAGTTCTTGTCTTTTTCTCCTTTGCTACCTGTTGTTGTTGGGAGGCTAGATATGTTTATCAGCACAGCCAGCAGTAGATTTATTTATTTATTTATTTATTTATTTATTTATTTATTTGGGTTGGCATCTAACCTTGTGTAGTGATTTTAGATGATTTTCTTTTCTTTCTTTCTTTTTTTTTTTTTGATGATTTTCTTTGTAGACTATAATTGTGACTAGCTGATTTGGGGTATCCCCTTGTTAGGTAGTGGTTAGTTTAGAGAAATTAGATGCAGTAGGAGCTCTTTGCTGGATAGGCATCTGATAATGTTGTCACCTTAAATACTGTGTTTCTTTGATATAGCCTTTAACAGTCCCAGGCTGTCCTCCAGTTGTGATGTCAGCATGGCCACCACAGCTGTACACGTTTCTTTCTCCTGAGCCATCTACTCTGTTAAGCAAGTTCAGGAGAAATGACAGAATGAAATTCCTTCTTTTTTCTTTTTTTCAGAGAAGATAGCTGGAGGGATTTCTTTTTCTCTCTTCTTCTTCTTCTTCTTCTTCTTCTTCTTCTTCTTCTTCTTCTTCTTCTTCTTCTTCTTCTTCTTCTTCTTCTTCTTCTTCTTCTTCTTCTTCTTCTTCTTCTTCTTCTTCTTCTTCTTCTTCTTCTTCGCAATATACTTTAAAAATCCCTTTTGCTGTTTCTTCTGAAATCACTCCAGTGATGTTTTTGAAAATTAGCCATTCAAGTTTGATTAAGCACAACCAATGTAAGTTTATTATGTGAAGGCTCCATTTTCATCAGAGAGCTCTTTTTTCTTCTTTTTTAATTTTTTATTTAAATTCTTTAATTACTAATATTTATATATCCATCACACCATTCCCTCGCCCTCCCATCCTCCCATGTTCCCCACCTATCCCCCCAGCCCACCCCCCAACTCTTCCCCAGGGACCTTCAAAGTCTGTCATATCATTTGGGGGAGGGCCTAGGCCCTCCTTCCTGTATCTGGGCTGCAATAGTAACCCTCCATAGGGAATGGGCTCCCAAAGTCCATTGTGCTCTAGGGATAAAGATTGGCTCCACTGTTAGAGGTCCCATAGACTTGTCTTGGTCACCTAGCTGGTACCCATATTCAGAGGGCTTGGTTTGGTCCAGTGCATATGCACATGCATTTTGGAAGAGCTAGATGATCTAATAGTGAGACTAAGAAGAAGCCAGCTGAAGAACTGCTGCTGGCCAGCCCTCTTACCTCTGAGAGGTTAGGGCTGAAGAGTATAAGCTGGTCTGAGTTAATGGCTTTTGAAGCACAGGAGTGCTAAGGGTTGGACACACACTTGGTTTGGGTTGTGGCCCGTCTTTGTAGTAGGCAGTGATGAGTTCCTAGAAAGCATACACCCCAGGAAGTATGCATGTAGTTTTTCTGTGGTGGGCCATGCAGTGGATAGAAACTTTACCAGCATTCTGAGCTAGTGAGGTCTATTGCATATTGAAGAAACAGGCTATGAATGGCAGGCTGAAGTGAAAGGGATTCCCATTTATTGCTTGTTTAACAATGGTTTCCAGAATCAACCTGAAAAAATTTAACATTCAGTTTCTTTAATAGTTATAAAACAGTTTAGAAGTCTAATAGTATTTAGTGATGTTAAGAAGTTCAAGTGAAGTTTTGCATGTCCCTGACCTCTGATGATAACCATTTTAGTGGAAGATGAAGAAGAGACCATTGAAGAGGAGGAAGCACATGAAGGGCTTGTAGACCACCACACAGAACTTTCTAATCTGGCCAAAGAAGGTAGGTTGTCACTATAATACTGAAAATATTTTCATTAAATGTCAAATAGATACACAGGAACATTTGAAAATAATGTCAGATACAAATGACGGCAGTACATGGGGCATAATGTAGTTGGCATTTTCTTTGGGCTGCTAACCAGTTCCCAATAAAGACATGGAGACATTATTAATTATGAATGCTTGTCCTTAGCTTAGGCTTGTTCCATTAGCTCTTTTAATTTAACCTGTTTCTATTCACCTACATTTTGCCTTGGGGCTTTTTACCTTTCAATCTGTATGTCCCACTTTCCTGCTTCCTCCGTGTCTGTCTTCTGTCTGGTCCCTGGTGTCTCCCTGTCATCTCTTTTTCTTTCTTCCCCTGAGCCTAAATTCCTCCTCCTACTTATTCTCCCTGCCTGGAAGTTCCACCTATACCTCCTCCTTGCTATTGGCCATTCAGCTTTTTATTAGACCATTCAGCACATCTTTGCATAGTTAAACAAATACTACAAAACAGCATAGTACTGCCAGAGTTACTTCTGTCCTTGTGATCACAGCTGACCTATATTTTTTTGTGGCTCACTTCCTGAACTCCTCTCCCACCTCTGTGAGTCTTCCTAGCCACTGTTGAGACTGAAGCAGAATTCCTTGACAATGGGATTGTAAGATGTGCTTTGCTCTTATTGTCCAGTGGTTCTGCTCAGTAGTTTCATCCAGATTGTTGGGTATGTCTGTTAACACCTCAATTCTACACACCATTTCACACATAAATATATTGTTGGTTACTTTGATTCCAACAGTGCTGCTGTTGGTATTCTCTTGTTCTATGGTGTTTGTACACAAATGGCTCTATATAAGCTCAGGTTTGGAACATGGCTGGCCTGCAGAATCATGTAGCATATACAGTTGGTTGTACCAAGCTGCATGCTGTACTGGTATTAGCCTTGGAGCTGGTGGTGAAGGTAGAGCCCCCTGGTGACTTGAAGGAATAGTTCTCTGACAGTGGGGTGCATTTTCTCGTGTCTGTTGAGCTCATTAAACAGGTTTTATTTTCCTTAATTGACTTACTGAGTTCCTTATATATTCTGGATACAAATTCTTGTTTTGTTTTTATTAATCTTTTGGTTTTTCGAGACAGGGTTTCTCTGTGTAACAGCCCTGGCTGTCCTGTTACTCACTCTGTAGACCAGGCTGGCCTCAAACTCAGATACACCTGCGTGTGCCTCCCCAGTGCTGGAATTAAAAACGTGAGCCACCACTGCCTGACATTTTTATTCTTCTTTATGTGTAGATGTGTGTCTGCATGTGAGTATGTGCATGAGGTTTCAGTGACCACAGAGACATTGAATCCTCTGAAGCGAAATTACAGATGATGAGAGCTGTCTGACATGGATATTAGGAACTGAGCTTCTGTAGAAGAGTAGCAAGTGCTCTTAGGTGCTATGCCTTCTCTCCACTCCAGGGGACATGAATTATTTAGACTTTGGTCATAACAATGGCTTTCTATAGTGCCTGAGCTGGAGAGATGGCTCAGAGGTCACTGCCTGCTCTTCCAGAGGTCCCGAGTTCAATTTCCAGCAACCACATGGTGGCTCATAACCATTTATAATGAGATTTGGTGCCCTCTTTTGTCTGGGCTGTAGGTATACTGTGTACATAATAAATAAATCTTTTCAAAAAAAATTTTAAAATGTACTTTTAGAATTTGCAAGTTGAAAATTGCTAATCTAAAAACTTAGAATCCAAAATGCTTTGAAATCCAAAGCAGTAAGGAAATGGTGTTCTGACGTTTCAGATTTCAGAGTATTCTCTCTTGCCCCCCTCAGTTTTTCCAGACAGGGTTTCTCTGTGGCTTTGGAGGTTGTCTAGCTCTTGAAGAACAGGCTGGCCTCAAACTCACAGAGATCAGCCTGCCTCTGCCTCCTGAGTGCTGGGATTAAAGGTGTTCGCCACCAATGCCTGGCCAGAGTATTCTTGATAGTGGATTTTCAGATGTGTGCAGAGCTATGAATATGGCTAGTCTTAGGCCTGTGTCAACTGCTTTAGGAAGAGGAGTATGTGTGACAGGCTACCCATCCAGTCTTTTTGCTATGCTTTTCTGAGTGCTTTTTTCTTTTTTAGCTAAGTGACAGTTGTCATAAAATGATCTTGTTTCTTCCTGTCATCCTTTCCAGCTGAATTGCCCTTAATTGATTTGATGAAGTTGTATGAAGGTGCCTTTCTGCCAAATTTTCAGTGGCCACAGCCTGAGCCTGATCATGAAGAGTCAAGTGGGGAAGAGGGTATGTTTTTAGTGTTGTAAAGAAACCATGTTTAAAATGAAAGCCAATAAAGACATTAAATAAGAGTAAGTAATTGGAAGTATTGAACCCTAGGACAGTTCTCCAGTTCATGTTAGTTGTGGCAAGGACTTGGGGCTTTGGATAGGATAAAGCCTGTGTGTGACTGTATACAAAGAACAAAAGAATTTGAGCCAGGAAAAAAAAAAAGAAGCGTATTTTATATGCAGTTTTCCTGGTGCATTTATCAGAGCACTGGGTGAATTGTGGAGGGAATAGAAGTGTTTTTTTCTAGATGTGCATTGTGGCTTATGTTTTTATAGGCTCTTCTGCGCTTGTTTATTAACTGGTTAATTCCAGACAGATACACAGAATACGCAGACTAACAGTGTGTCCTTTTCTCATGCTAATTATTTTGCTTATTAGATAGATACAAGAGCATGTGAGAGGGAAGACAGGAACATTGGGTCATGAGACAGTTGTCAGAGGGTCTCCTGTGGGAATTCAGGACCTTTCACAGTCCCCTTCTGTAGCAAGGCGTAGGGTCAGAGACAAAGACTTTTTCCTTATTTCCAAATTTGGGTGATGTTTCTAATTTTTCCTTTTTGTGATAGTAGTAGAAGGGAGATCATTAAACCTAAGATACTTGTTATTCTGCCCACATTATTGTCTCCCAATCAACACAACCATTTCCTGAACAGCAGGCTGTTGGGGAAGATATAGTTGATTGTGATGTTTCCTAAGAGTCATTCATGTTATTGTGGATGTATAAAATGGATTTCAGTGAAAAAAAATGTATCGATTCTGTATTCTTCCTTATCATTTGTTGCCACCACCCCCCCTTCTGTGTTTAGGCTCATAAAACAGCCATTCTAGCTCTGTTTCATTGTTCTAGACGTGGAAGACTGTCCTAGTGACAGGGAGAGCCGCAGGGACTCAGTTCTCATTGACTCACTCTTCATCATGGATCAGTTTAAAGCTGCAGAGAGAATGAGCATTGGAAAATCCAACACCAAGGACATCACAGAAGTTACTGCTGTAGCTGAAGCCATCCTCCCTAAGGGCAGTGCCCGGGTCACAACTGCGGTGAGGAAATCTTTCCTGCCTCCCAACAGGCTCCATAAAAATTGCTAGAAAAGGCAGTTGCTGTTCTTCTGTTCTGTAAATCATTTGGGACTGTCCTATAGGTGTGTTATACAGCCTCTAGATTTAGGCTCTGAGAAGGTATGCTGATTGCTTTGTCATTGTTTGGCTGGTCTGTCTGTCACTATAGGTGAAGTTTAGTGCTCCATCTTTGCTGTATGGTACTCTCCGAGACTATCAGAAGATAGGCCTTGACTGGTTGGCCAAGCTATACCGGAAGAATCTCAATGGCATATTAGCTGATGAAGCTGGGCTTGGGAAAACTGTGCAGATCATTGCTTTCTTTGCTCATCTTGCATGTAATGAAGGTAAGAGTCTCTCAGTTTCCACCAGCAGAGTGTGTTGCCTTTGAGGAAGAAAACTTCTTCGGTCTCTTCTGTTCCTCTCCTTTTACCTGAGCCAGGCAAGACACTGAAAATACTGTTAGGCAGTTGGGAATGCTGGTGAAGTCCTGTAACGCCAGCACTCAGGAGGTTGAATTGTAATGCTTATTCAAAATGCAGCAGCCTCAGACTGCCTCTCAGGTTCATCTGGCAGTGGGAGTTTGGGGTGGGAGGGATGAGTATTTTCTTCTGTTGATGTGCATCTTATATTTTGAGGCAGGATCTCGTTGAAACTGGAAGTTGCCTTCGGCTACACTGCCTAGCCAGTGAGTTCTGGGAATCCCTTTCTCCCTCCCCTACAATTGCAGACATGTGCTACCACAAGTGGCTTGTCCAGTGAGTCTGGTGTGCAGAGGGTGGTGTGGCTTGTCTCAGAAGGCCACGTGTAGGAGGAGGAGCTAGCAAAACTTGCCACTCTTTGCTCTGCCTTGCCCCTGGGATTAAGAGTAGATGCTCCTTGCTTGGGGCCTTTCCAAGAATGGAATTTTGTGTTACATATTTGGAGGTTTTTTTTTTTTTTTTTTTTTTTTAATATTCACTGTTCTGGATGTGGTCGTGCATGTGTGTTTAATCCTAGTGCTTGGGACAGGCTGATCACTGAGTTCGGGGCCATACTGTTCTATATAGGAAGTTTCAGGCCATTCAGAGCGACATAGCAAGACTCTGTCAAAAAAAAAAGAAAAGAAAAGAAAAGAAAGAAAAAAAGATTTTCATTGTATATGGTACCTGTTACATAAGGACATTTTGATATAAGGATATATTATACATTGAATTTACCTCTTTTTAGACTTATTTTTATGTCCGTCTTTCTCTGTCTAAAGACCAAAACAGAGTGTTGGATCCTTGCAACTTGGAGCTGGAGTTGCAGGAGGTTGTGAGCCACCTGACATCAGTGCTAGGAACTGAACTCTGGTTCTCTGCAAGAGCAGCATGCCCTCTTAGCCACTGAGCCACCTTTCCAACCTCGTTTGTTTGTTTGTTTATGGCAGGGAGTTGAGTTCAGGGCCTCGTAGTGCTAGACAAGGTCTTTTCTGTGTCCCACATGCTCAACTCTAGCCATTATTATTATTTTATATGTATGAGTGTTTTGCCTATATGAATGTCTGTGTACCACATGGATGCTTGGTGCCCATAGAGGCTAAGAGAGGCATTGAATTCGAGCTAAAATCAGCTGTGAGCTGCCTTGTGGGCGCTGGGAACCAAACCTGGGTCCTCTGTAAGAACAGTAGTGCTCCTAACTGCTGAGCCATCACTTCAGCCCCATTTTAGGTTTTTAATCCTGTTTAACTTTCTGGAGAGAAAGCCATTTTGGGTTTGGTCATGTTTCCTTACTTGTAAGAGTGTATGTTTAGGGCTGGAGAGATGGCTCAGAGGAAGCAGAATGTTGTATACATAATAAATAAATAAAATCTTTAAAAAAAAGATTGTGTGTTTAGAGTTTAAAGATTGTATTTTTGCTTTTTAAATTATGTATACATATGTGTGTCTGAGTGTAGGTATGTGTGTTTGTAGGTGCCTATCAAGGCCAGAGGTGTGAGATTCTCCTGGAGCTGCAGATACAGGCAGTTGTGAGCTGCCTGCTGTACATGCTGAGAATCACACTTAGGTCTTCTGGAAGTGCCATCTCTTCAGCTTGGTGTCTAGAGAGATCCTGGCCTGATCCCTAGCACTACTACCAAAAGGGGGGAAACTTATTGACTTTTAAGTTTTTTCTCTGAAACTTCTGTTGAAATGATCGTTAAGTTTTCTCTTGAGCAGTTCGTTTTCAGAATCATTAGCCATGCTTCAACAGTGGCCATAGATATGTGAAGTGCAGCTTTATCTTTAAATCAGCCATTTCTGTCTTTGACCCTTAATTGCATTCATTTCACTTATGGCACAGAAATTGAAATTTTCTTTCTGGGTTACACCTACTGACTTGTAAAATGCTGTTTTCAGACTAAGGTCAATTACTGGGTCAATTGGATATTCTCTACATAGAAGTAGGTACCTAAGGAGGTGCCTGTCTGTTTGGGCTGCAGAGCATTTGCTACTGGGAAGGATTATTCAGGGTCTGAGGTCCCAAGTGAGCAGCTTTCTTGTCTTGGGAATTTGTTTGCCATAGACAAAAGTTCTTTTTTTGTTGTCAGTAGTTTGTTTTTTAAAATAAGGTCTCACTGCGCAGCTTTGGCTGACCTAGAACTCATAAAGCTCTGCCTGCCACTGCTTCCCGAGTGCAGGAATTAAAAGCATGCACCACCATATCTGGAATAGACAAGAGTTATTTCTCTGGCTCATTATAAAAGTTCATATGAGCTGGGTGGTGGCGGCGGCGCATGCCTTTATCCCAGCACTCGGGAGGCAGAGGCAGGAGGATCTTTGTGAGTTCAAGACCAGCCTGGTCTACAAGAGCTAGTTCCAGAACAGCCTCCAAAGCCACAGAGAAACCCTGTCTCGTAAAACCAAAAAAAAAAAAAAAAAGTTCATATGGTTGTCAGTGGATTTTGGTTTTATTTTTGTCTGTTCTTTTCAGCAGTGTTTCTGGAGAGCCTGACCCCATCCTAGTGCATCAAGGACACACCTCCTATTCTGGGCAGTGTATTTATGTTAGAGGATAGTTTTTGTTTCCTTGGTGTCAGCTTTCCCCATGGCCCACATACTTAATAAGCTTCTGATCAAACTCAGCTTTAGGTTCCTGGATCTCACAGATTTTTTTTTTCTTTTATAGGTAATTGGGGCCCTCATCTTGTTGTCATGAGGAGTTGTAACATACTCAAGTGGGAGCTTGAGTTGAAACGCTGGTGTCCTGGCCTCAAAACTCTTTCTTATGTTGGCAGCCACAGAGAACTCAAAGCAAAGAGACAGGTAGTGCCACCCTGCCCCCACCCCCTCTCTCTTACTTTGTTTTGCACTGCTGGGGATGCATCCAAGTTTCACATATCCTAGACAAGCGGTATGCCAATGAACACCCTTAGCCAAGCATCTTTTAAACATGGTATATAGAAGCTGAAGAGATGGCACAGCAGAGAAAAGCACTTGCTGCATGAGCCTGACAACCTAATTTTGATACCTAAAGTCATGTGAAGGTATAAAGGAGAAAACCAACTCCATAAAGTTGTCCTCTGACTCTTAACATGCATGTTGTGGTGTACACATGCCTGCACAGACATAGCTCACACATGTCCTACAATAATTAAGCATGAAATAAAGCTAGACATCTTAATATTTCTTAACATAGAATCTCCTTATGTAGCTCAGGCTGGCTTAAACCACTGGATCCTCCTGCTCCAGCCCTGTGAGTATTTTACATGCTGCCTAATGTGATTATTTTGTAAGCCTCCAAACGCATATGTGGTTCTAGAAATTGAGCCCCTAAAAGCATAGAGGACACAGGATGGATGCCCAGTTTCCTGGGAGAAAGCTGCTTAGGCTTTAGGCTCCATTTCCCTTCTGGCCTGCATATGAACTTTCTTGGCATGTGTGAGTTGAGTTCAGTTCCCAGTACTGCAAGGAAAATAGTTCAGAGCTGAGTTCTTGTCTGGAGAGAGAGTGCGGTACATCCTACCTCAAGACAGCTGATTTTCACAAGCTTAATGGAGTATGTAAGGTCTACTGAGTTCTGAATGATTTCTGTGGATTATTCACAAGAATATTTGTGACAGATACAAGTTTCCTTTGGCCCCCAATGCTTATTAATAGTGCCAGGTCCCAAGTGAATGTGTATAGACCAGTTTCCATCATTTGAAATTTTGGCTTAGTGTTAAGACACTATGTCAAATAAAATTTACTAAGGGTGGATCTTGTGGTACATTTTCTCTTTTACCATTTGTCTTATTTTTTATCTCCTGCTGTAAAAATATAAAACAAAATACCCCCCCACAAAAAAAACCTAAAGAAGATAATTTTAAAGAGCAGAAATGTACTGCTTAAGAGTTGTAGAGATTGGAAGTCTAATACCATGTTCCAGACAAGTTTGGCATCTGGCAAGGATCTGGTTTCAATTTCTGAGATGATACTTTTCTTGCTATGTGCTTACTTTGGGCAGATAGAAATGCAGAAGGGTTTCACATGAATCTTTGCTATCTTTTCACAAAGCACTGACTCATTCTTAGGGACTGAGAAGGTCCAAGTCTTAATGCTGCCACAGTGTAGATCAGTTCACTCTGAGTTTTAGAGAGGATGCATTAGACCATAGCTCATTCTCCAGTTGCGCTAAAAATCTTGTTGCAGTTAGTTGCAATGTAGACATCTGCTTTCCTTACCCTTCTTGTTTAGATTATACACTATAAAAGCTAGGGTTGTCTCTGGTAATCTGTTTTCCCAGTGATAATTTCCAGTGCCTCTAAAGCAGCCTGATTTGTCAACGAAAGTCCATTGGGCTCTAGAATAACAGAGAAGAATATCTTGGACTTTTTCTTGAGTAGTTGTTGTAAAGAATGGGTCGGATTGCTGGTGATGTATGTAGGTTGACTGAGTGTGATTGCCCAGCAGTGTCTTACAGATGGTTTCAGGGAAGACAGGGGCCTTCTTTCTGTATTGCAGGAGTGGACTGAGCCCAACAGCTTCCACATCTGCATCACATCCTATAAGCAGTTCTTCAGGGGCTACACTGCCTTCTCAAGGGTGCAATGGAAATGCCTTGTCATTGATGAAATGCAGCGGGTGAAGGGCATGACTGAGCGGCATTGGGAAGCCATCTTCAAGTTGCAGAGGTCTGACCTCACTCAAGTGTTCTGTCTTTTCCAAATCTCCAAGTGTTGTTTGTTCTTACCTAAGGATTTTTCTTAAATTTAAATCATTGCATACATGTATCAATGGTAGTGAAAAGGAATTTCCATCTCCTTTGTCACAGCATGTTGGACCTAAGAGACACACAGAGTCCATTTGTTCAATCCTTTTCTTTGAGACAAGGTCTTGCTGTGTAGTCTTGGTTAGCTTGGAGCTCTCTATGTAAACCAGGCTGGCCTTGAATTTAGAGGTCTGCCTGCCTCTGGCCCTACTCCCTTCTCCCAAGTGCTGTGTGTGTCACTGTGCCTGTCCTTTCCTTGAAGACATACGTAGAGTTGCTGTCTTCACTTTCATCTCACATTGCAATAGAGAAGAGTTATGCAGCCTCCTTTTGTGTTTCAGAGTGCCAACATTGTCCCATTTTGTTTGTAGCCAGCAACGCCTGCTTCTGATTGATGTGCCTCTGCACAACACTTTCCTGGAGCTCTGGACCATGGTACACTTTCTCATTCCTGGGATCTCCAGGCCTTACCTGAGCTTCCCCCTGAAGGCTCCCAATGAGGAAAACCAGGATTACTATCACAAAATGGTCATAAGATTACACAGGGTATGTTTGCTTCAGTGATTGCAGCTGGCTCATTTAAAGCATATTTGCCTTCTGCTAAATACACCATGGCATTATTTGGGGAGAAAATGGCTATTATTTTCTCTAGGTCACACAGCCATTTATTCTGAGGAGAACCAAGAGAGATGTGGAGAAACAGCTGACCAGGAAGTATGAGCATGTTCTAAAGTGCCGCCTTTCCAGTCGGCAAAAGGCATTGTATGAGGATGTCATCCTACAGCCTAGGTAAGTGCTGGTTTACCCACCTGCCCCTTGGCAGTGCACCCTGTTGTCTCAGTGAGTGTGCCTATCAGTGAAGCAACCAGGAGCTCTGCAGTCTCCAGAACTTACTCAGTCTGCTTCCTGTTTACTCAGCCTTTAGATATGCTTTTCTGTAAACCTGCCATTTGTGTAGCTTGGTGTCTATTCTGCTGCCTGCTGCTTCTTGCATTAGCTTGGGTGGTTAGTGTGAACTCAACTCATTGACCATTTTACTCTTTGAAAGTAACCACTGCTCTGCCAGGTCAGTATGGTCTTTCTGGAAGGAAATCAGTGGGGTATAATATCCATGTCATGTTATAGCATCCTGTAACCTAAATAGGTCATCTCCCAACTCTTGCCTGGTAGCCCCAAATGTCATTTAGTGGGCTCAACTTGGATCCTCTGAATCCTCTCCATGACTTTCCTATGGTGTGTTATGTTTAAAACAAATTCAAGAACTGTAGAAATAAAATTCAAACAGATGTTAATTTTAAACTTGGTAGTTCTCAGATCTTAGACACTACTCTCTCGACTCTAAAGGCAACTCAACTGAGAAGAATCACATGTGTGCTTATTATGAACTCACATGGTAGCAGTCTCTGACATGTGGACCTACTCCATATTCATCAGTCTAGTCTCATTTATCTGGTTTACAGGTTCCCACTCAGTAGGGACATAATGTGGTGCTGTGGGTTACTCTGTGGATCAGATATACCCAAAGCTATATTGTAAGCACTTGCCTTAGCTGTAGGCAGAGACCTTAGCCATAGGCAGAGATGGTATAGCCTGTACCAAAGTTCGGAGGCAGTGAGGCACAAGGCCCATTCATTACTAGCAACCTGGCCAGCCTCCTGCTACTTTTTGTTTGCTTAGCACAGGGTTTATGTGATTCTCTAAGAAAAAGTAATATATTTCTAAAGTTCTTACAGTAGTGTGTAGCTTCCTTGATGCCCTCAAGAAATGATTTGGCATTGCTGCAGCATGTTTAAAAGGCTTACTGGAAATTTTGGGATTGAGTATAAGAATGAATGGCTGCTCATTTACAGACTGTTTCCCAGGTAGTCTTTGGTAAGAGACTCTCAGTCTATCATCTGATGTGGAAGAGGAGCAAGTGAATGCACCCTCAAAGCTTTCACTGTGATCAACCCTCCAAATACTGTGGAAACTACTTGAGCGGAAACTAGTTAGCCATGTTGCTACAGCACTGGTTTCTGTCAGATACTTCAGCAAGATGTTGGCATCTTCTTTTGTTGAGCTTAGTGATGCACTAGTTATAGTTAGTGAAAAGTAATTTTGTGTAAGGGAATGGAGCTTCTGTGGAGGTCAGGTGCCAGCAGATGGGAAACATGGTTCAGTTACCCTTAAGTTACTTAGGTTGCCCTCCATTAGGAGCTCTAACGAATCATTGTTTAGGGAATTTAGCTTGTTGATATGTGACTGTGCCCACAGGGTAGTGAGGTGCTTGTGTTTGGGAATGATATCATTTTTCTTGGAGGTGTAAGAGGTTATGGCATGCGATCCAGCACATCTTGTCTTAATGCTCTTTGGCTGGTTCTGAGACACCTGCTCTGAGTAGAATGACAGTGAGACTTATACATGTTTCCTTTCTTCTCTCTGAGCCACAACTCAAGTGTTAGTGTGTTAAGCTTTTGTGCATCCTGACCCCATTTTTGCACTTGGTAACCAGGTTTCTGGATACCATTAGGTGCTCAAACCACCAGACAAAAACCTGAGGTAGGTCCTCATTTCTGTATTGTACTGTCCTGATGCATTGGAACACCAAATCAAGCACCTTCTACCTTCCTCATGGTTTCTGGCTTTCTGCTCCTACCTGCTTGTGCATGTCCTTTCCCTGGCAACATCTATCATTCTTGAACTCAGGGAAGTAGATGCCAATTTTAGCCCACTCAAAGCCAAACTTGACATCTGTTTTAAAATATCACATTCCACTTCTAATCCCCTAAGCTAGATGGATACTCTGTCTTGCTTATTATTCTATTGTTGTGCCTAACCCTGTGCAGAGACCCTTACCACAGGACTCAGAGATGGCTGTGTCTCACTTTCTTGTTGTCCAAGCTAGGTTTGCTGTGGCATCTCCTGCTGGCAGTGTTTTTCAGGATTCCCTCTTTTCTGTTGTATACCTGAGTTGTCCCTGGCATTTCCTGCAAGGAGCTCAAGCTACTTCCTGAGCCCAGTTCTTTCTATACACCTTTTAGATGAGCTGCTTGGGTTGGGAACCTGCAGTCATCTCACCATGGTTCTACATCCCTCTCTATCTCTCCAGATGCCATTCTTCATTACCTGCCCTGGAAGTCCCCTTTCTCTTTCAAAAGCTCAGTTCCATACTGCAGCTCCCTGGTCCTGGTGCACCTTGGACCAGGGTGGGTCTCTGTCTGATACTGCAGCAGGCTCTGGCTTGTGCCCTGCTCAGCATCTCATCTACCACTGTGTACTCTCCTTGCAGGATCAGGGGATATGCTTTCTGGGGTACTCTGATCCTGCCTTCTGGCTTAATGATTCTTTTCACACATCTAACTATACCTAGGATGCTTCTCCTCTTTCAGGGCACTTACTCTGATATTATTGAAACATGGCTCCTTTACAAAGGAACAGTCCTTCCTTGAGATTTGGGCTATCCTCACCCAGACAATTCTGGCTCTGTGGATGACTCAGTATAGACCCGTGTGCAAATACAGACTTGAATGTGCAATATAATTAATTTACTAACTCAGTTCCTGTGTTTTCTGAGATTAGGAAAGTCACTGATGATGAGACTGAATGGTGAACATACATTTGCCCTTGATACCGAACTCGTTTGCCTCTTCTCCATGAGCAGGACTCAGGAAGCTCTGAAGAGTGGGCACTTTGTCAGTGTCTTGAGTGTCTTGACGCGGCTACAGCGGATCTGCAACCATCCTGGACTGGTAGAGCCACGGGTACCAGGCTCCTCCTATGCAGCAGGCTCTCTGCAGTATCGGTCAGCCTCTCTAATTCTCAGAGTTCTGGAGAGAGAGTTCTGGAAGGTAAGAAAGAAGATTTGGAGGAGTAGTGCAGGACTTATAGTGCTTTCTGAATCCACATAGTTATGTGGATCAATTTCCAACCCCTCTTGTCTCTGGCTTAGTGGTTCTCAACCTTACTAATTCTGTGACCCTTTAGTACACTTCCTCATGTTGTGGTGACCCACAGCCATAAAATTATTGTTGTTGTCGATACCATCATCATCATCATCATCATCATCATCATCATCATCATCATTATTTTCATTATTTTGTTTGGTTGTTTTTCAAGACAAAGTTTCTCTGTGTTACAGCTCTGGCTTTTCTGGAATTCACAGAGATCCTCCTGCCTCTGCCTCCTGAGTGCTGGGATTAAAGGCTTGCACTACCACCACCCGGCCATAAAATTATTTTTGTTGCTAGTTTATAACTAATTTTGCTGCTGTTATGAATCGTAATGCAGATATCTGTTTTCTGATGGTCTTAGGTGACAACTGTGAAATGATAATTTAACCCCCTTGAAAGGTTCAAAACCCACAGGTTGAGAACCACTGTCCTAGCTCCTTCTGACTAGTTTCTGTCTGTGTACTTACCTGGTATTGTATAACTTACAGAATTGTATCTGGATTCTTTCACTTAGAGTATTTTCAAGGTTCATCCTCATTGCAGTATGTCAGATTGTCATTCCTGTTAAGGGCTGGGTAGCATTCTGTTGTGAAAGGCCACATTTTGTTTGTTCTTTCATCAGTTGATGGATGCATAGGTGGTTTCTGTCTTTGGCTATTATTAGTATTGCTGATGAGAACATTCCTAATAGTTGGCTTTTCAGTGTTCTTGTGAGTGCACTTCAAGTGAACTGCTGGATCACATAGCCATTTCGTCTGTCTCTTTAAAGAAGTGCCAGCTGAGCTGAGTGGTGCTGGCACATGCCTTTGGTCCCAATACTCATATGAGACAGAGGCAGGCGGATCTCTGTTCGAGGCCAGCCTGGTCTACAAAGCTACACAGAGAAACCCCATCTTGAAAAGAAAAAAAAAGAAAAAAAAAAAAGTGCATCTGAACCACCTGATGACTCTCTTTTTGTCTTTCATCTTCTTCAGTGTAATGCTGTTTCTTGTTATCTCAAGTTCTAAGACATATACATTAGTCATGCTGTGGAAAGCAGGGTACTTGCTCTTGCCAGGGCCATGACCATAAATCTGACTGGTCCAACTCTGTTTAGCACTGAGTAGTCTCTCCAATAAGCCTTACTGGGGGTCACTCCCACAATCTGATCAGCACATGGAGCCCACAACTGCCCACTGGGGATGATTGCTGTTTGTCTCCACACTATTCAGGTGATGATTGTTTGGTTGCGTATGCTGTTCTGCAGCTCCAGGTTGTCCCTCAGTATAGGAACATGACACTGGGAAAGGCCAAACAGCTGTTGTTCCATTGTGAAAAGGAGGTCTGGCCCTTTGAGGAGACATGATCTTACCTAAGCCCAAGCATGAGAGGGCTTGGCATACCATGTCAAACAGAGCTCAGTAGACTCCTACCTTGTAGCAGATTTTGACTGTTGGTCAGGTGTTTCTTCTGCCACCTATTACACATTTTTTTTTCTCATTTCTTTTTCTTCTAAGGAAACTGATCTTTCTATATTTGATCTCATTGGGCTTGAAAATAAAATCACTCGCCATGAGGCTGAATTACTGTGTAAGAAAAAAGTGACTCGGAAACTCATGGAGGAAGTCTTTGCTTCACCACCTCCGACAGTCCGGCCAGCAGCCATGAAGCTCAAGGCCAGCAGGTATGAGGATGGGTTAGAAGCAGCATCTGGCATATCCACTACTCCAATGACTTTTTGCTTGTTGGAAGTCAAGTGCCTGGGCCATAAGCAGTCCCTTCCTCTAGCTTAACCTAGGCAGTCAGTGGTGATGAGAGAAGCTGTGTTCTGGACAGTGTCCCGAATGTCCTTGGTTTCAGTCAGCACAACTACATTAACAAGATTCTCTAACTGAGGTTGTCTTTAAAAGTAAGCTTTAGGATTTGGGGAGACATCAAGGCTGAGAACAGTCTGCTGTCTAATTTGTCATTAACTGGCATGGCCAGGTCAGACCTCTTATTGGGAAGAGTGCAGAATATGCCCATGGGCAAGAACAAGGGCAGACATGAGGTCCACTCAACAGCAGTGAAGTCGTTGCTCTTACAGGTGACATGACAATGATATAAATGATGATTTGGGGTGAGGGAGATCATGAGGCAGGAGGTGGTAAAATTAGGATGTAAATGCTTCTGAACAGACTAAACCCAGTGATGAGAAAGAAGCAGAATCCTGTGCTTGGGTGAAAAAGGAAAACAGAAAATAGTTATTTTTAGAAATAAAGAGGGCATTTGTACAGATCAGAAGTCCATTCTTCAAGCTTTTTTCAGACTTGGCTTCCTTGGGACTGTGACCTGTTTCCCATCCTTAGCAGCTCAGTTCAAGCCTGACAGACCCATACAGGAAACCTATAGCCACGTGAACACAGACAAGGCCTTCTACTTGTACTTACTGGGCTTTGTTAAAAGGTTTCTATGGCTGGCTCCTTGTTTGTCCTTCCATTTTCTAGGTCAGAGAACTCATACCTCCATGATCAAACTAGAATCAGCTGCCTTACTGGGCCCTTTGTGCACCTTTCCAGATCCTGCTGTTTCTGTCCATTTCATAAGCTGTCTTGTCACATGTACTAGTAGAGAATTTGCTTTTTCTTTGCTTTTACTTTACACTGTAGTTATCACATGGATGTTACACACCAGAGGTGTTTTTCTCTTAACATACTTTGACATATACCTAATAATTGAGATTGAACAGTATCATTGTGTTACTGGTTGAGATGTCTGACCTTTGAGTACAGAGTTTGTCAGCAGTTCCCCACAGGCTTGATGTGAGCTTCTTGCCAACTGTTATTTGGAGCTCCATGCCTCTTTAACCTGCCTTCCCAGCTGGTCTTTGAGGGATGGCCCTCTAGAACCCATGCTGTCTGCGCTGTGGTGATATTGTGTGTCTTCTGCTTGGGCCAATGGGCATCTAGGTTATTTCAGCCTGTGCAGTACGGCCAGAAGCCCGAGGGTCGCACCGTGGCATTCCCCAGCACACATCCACCTCGGATGGCAACCACCAATGCAGCCACTGCTGCCCCACAGGGCCAGGTTCGAGGACGGCCACCGATTGCTACCTTTTCTGCCAACCCAGATGCAAAAGGTATCTTACATAATCAATCAGCTCTCTCTTTTGAAAGACTGTGGGAAAGCTGCTGGCACTCTCTGTTCCTGGCCTATCTAGTGTTATAGCCACTGCTGTAGGGTCTGGAAACCTTCAAATGGCCGCAAAAAGTGCTGCCTGCAAATCTTGATGAGTTGAAGACACTTTTTTCTTTTCTCCCCCCACCCCCCAAGACAGACTCTTACTGTGTAGCCCAGGATGGTCTAGAACTCATAATTTTTCTGCTTCCAGTTCCCTGGGTGCTGGGATTTCCAGGCATGCAACACTGTGCCCGGATGTAGAGTTTGTTTCCTAGTCTGGGTTTTCCCTGTAGCAGAAAGTTCACCTTAGCTGAGCAGGTGATAGGGCCTCTGCAAAGTGTTTTTCTTAAAGTCTGTCAAGGTTGTTCAGCAAAGTTCTGAGCCTTCCTGCTGCATCTGGTGCTATTGTTTCGGCTTCACTTATGGTGAAGAGGCAGAGAAAGACCTAGAAGTGGTCTTGTAGCCTCATCTGAAAACAGCAGTGCAAAGGTTTCTGTACACTGCTGAGCGTGGGTGCTTCTTTGTGTTTACAGAGTGCTTTCTAACAGCTGGGACCATTTGACGGCTCGTTTCTAGTCCAAGATGTTTGCCCTGTGTGTTCTGTCAGCTTCCGGGGAGCCTTACTGATTGGCAACAGGCAGAGCCTTAAGTTTCTCTCAACCTAAGGACTGTATCAGCCCCTCCATGTGTGTTTCCTAAGAGTGGGCTTCTCATTTGAGAGACTGTGAAATAATGTTTATGTAATTTCTTTAACATTCGGTTGTAAAATACTGCGTGTTATAAAGAACCTCTAACAGCTTTGCACAAAACAACCTTATTGATTGCAGCAGCAGCAGCCCCGTTTCAGAACTCTCAGGCTTCCGTCGGTGCGCCTCGACACCAACCCACCTCGACCTCCAGCACAGCAGCAGGCCCAGCCCATCCTTCGAAACTGCGGGGCGCACCGCCCCAGCGGCTGGGGCTTTCCTGGCAGGCCCAGGCCCGCTTGCCCAGTAAGTGGCCTTACTGTCCAGAGTCTGCTCTCACTGCCTTGGAGCAGTGTGTCAGGAACACGGGATGTCTGAAGAACCTTTGCTGTCCACTGCCTCTGTCTGTCCCTTAGTCCAGGCCTGGAGCGTGATGCCTGTCATGGTGGGGCCTTGCCAGAGGTCATTGTCCAGGGCCCTGCTCTGTTCTACTCTTTCTTTTCCCCACTTAACCAGCTCTGCTTTCCTCCTGTGCTGCACTGGTGTTCAGGGCTAGCACCTCCACTTAGCCTTAGCCATAGTTCTGTTCCAACAGTGCTGGGGTCCACTCTGGGGGGCAAGGCGGTAAGACTACACGAACTAGCATTAGGTTTCTAGATACTATTAGTTCTTTTTGGTTTCTCACATAATTCCAAGTTTAAGCTTGGCATGAATATTTGGTCCACAGACATTTCTCAATAATTCAGTGACTAAAACAGCTAATTGTTACTAATTTTTTCCTAACTCAGAATTTTGTGTTACCGGCAATGGGATTAGCAGGTTTCCAGATCTTCTACAGACCATTACAGCCTACTATGGAAATTATGCCAACTTAAAGTATTATAGATCATAAAATGTTTCATATTTACAATGTAGCAGAGTCACATTGAGGCCTTTTTTGAAAACTGGGAAGGGAGGGGAAAGCATCAGGGGAGACTGGGAATCTCTTCTGTGGCCAGCAGTGGGGAGTGGTTGTCCTAGGCAGTCACACAAGAGGAGGAAGCTTTGTGTGCCTCATGTTTCTGTAGGTGATGAGACTTACATTATTATGGGAGGACTTACATGTAGTCGTGTGTGAAGAGAGTGATTCAACTGGCTTTACCCGTCTAGGAGGGCTGATGGGAGATTTAAGTGTCTCTGTATATAAATCTATCTCTGATTTTCATTTCCCCTTCCTTGTGCACAGTTATTCTGTGTGCAAGACATCTTCAGGCAGTTTGCTAGTCTTTTACTAACTGTTCTCCTTACGGCATCTTTACTAACCCTGGCATGGATTTTCTTGGGAGAGGAGAATTTGAATTTGGATAGCACCCTTTGGGTAAAAAGCCTTTAAGCTTCTGATCATTTGCTGTGCACTCATTTGAATTAGTGTCAACTTAGAGTTTTAGGTCTGACTTATTTACTTTAGCTTTCCTAGACTTAAAAGCGTGTGCAACTAAAGTTGGTTTTATGTCCGTGATATATATGATCTTATTTTGTGGACACATACTTTTTCAAATTTTGTAAGTTCTCTGAAAAGTTTCCAATTTAATGCAAATAGATTTATGATATTTTTGATATTTACTGTTTTTTTTTCCCTTTTATTATTTGTAGGGAAAAGTAAAACTATCCTTTGTTTGATGAGTAGTAGTTGGTACTGAAAGTTCCTGCCAGTTGTGATTAAATAGATTAACCACTGAAGTCTGATATTTAATAGTATTTTTTCTTTTGTCTTAAAATGACTTTTTTTTTTTAATGATAGAAAGTGGTACCTGACTAGTGTTTTGAAGGTACTTGAGCATAGTATAGGCAGTCATTATTTATAGTGATTATTGTGTAACAGTCAATAACTTCACTCCAAGTGATGTTAGTTCAGCTTTTATTCTGTGTTTCGACAGGTGGGGAAGTAGTGAAAATAGCTCAGCTGGCATCCATTGCAGGGCCACAGAGCCGTGTTGCCCAGCCAGAGACACCTGTGACACTGCAGTTCCAGGGGAACAAGTTCACCTTGTCACATAGCCAGCTGCGGCAGCTAACAGCAGGCCAGCCTCTGCAGCTGCAAGGTAAGAGACAACCAGCTGATACTAAAGTTGACAAGAACAGAGGACTTGAAAACCTGCCTGGGTGGTAGGGTAACTTGTCACTGAGTTTTAGGTTCTTGATCCAGGAGTGATGGTAACAAGTCTCATGTCGGGTTGTTGAGGATTGATGAGATGACATCCATGAGTCACCTTGACAGTGCCCTAAATAATTGGTAGTCATTTATTTTTTATTTTTTATTTTTTTGAAATCGGTACCATCTGTTCTTTGAGAAGAGTTTCCTTTCCTCTTTTGTAAGTCAGTAGAAATGTTTGTTGCTTCTTTTTTCTTTCTTTTGGGGGGTGGGGGCAGGGTTTCTCCTAACTGTCCTGAAGGAATTCACTCTGTAGATCAGGCTGCCTCTGAACTCAGAGATCCACTTTCTTCTGCTTCCCAAATTTAAAGGCATGCACCACCACTGTCTGCTATGCTTTCTAATATGAATATGCCAAAAGACTGGCAATTTATGTAAGAGAAATGCTCTACCTACCTGCCTACCTGCCAGTTGGGTTCTTACTATGTTGCCTAGGCTGACCTGTGACTTCTGAGATCAAGCCATCCTTCTGTCTGAGCTTCATTACTGAGACCTTAAGATTTGTGCCAGATTAAAGTGTTAATTAACTCTGGGATCCAAACCTCTCATACCTTTGGCTAAGAATATGTAGTTATTGCTTTCAAAAGAATGGAGGTAGTAAAACTTGAGTAGTTCCTTAAAATTAATCCAGTATTATGTGGCAACAATTGCAGCTTTTTTTTGGCTACATCCAATGCCGTGTGATGATTGGCTGCCTGTCTTCAGGTTAAGGTGTCACAGGTATCTGTGGCAGCACTGGCTTCTCTGCACCCCACCCCAGCAGCCACTCCAAAAGACTCTGCCCTGGATTGTGGCTGGGTGACTGCATCTCGTGACACTTTAATGCCTATCTCCACAGGGCTTGGGATCTAAGACTCGTGGCCATCCATGAATATAGTTGGTGGTTATTTGTTCTCTTGTCACACATAATAGAAAAGTGACAGACTTTTAAAGAACAGCCACAGAGTCATTATGGGAACCTGGGCTAAGCCCAGGTCTTTCTGGCAGTTTTTTCATCCCTTTGGCAATGGCTACATGAGTCTGGGAGTGTTTCTGTGACCTTCATAGCCTTAGGACAACCGTGGTCCTTAGTGGGTATGTACCTGTCTATGTGCAGAGTTAGTGGTCTTTTCTTGTTGTAGTGTAAAGCAAACTCCCCTCAGATGATTTTCTGTCTCTGTCTGGGATTTTCAAAATATTCCCTCCTTTGTCAGAGTTACTGAGCTGTGGATATATTTGCTTGTATAAATGTGACTGTGTGTGTGAAGTATACTGACTCATTTGTTACTGTACCGTTTGGAAGTGGTAGCATGTACACACACCTGTTACTGATGCCCCTGGTGGATGTGTGATTGCAGGTAGTGTACTCCAGATCGTGTCAGCCCCTGGGCAGCCCTACCTGCGAGCCCCTGGCCCCGTGGTGATGCAGACTGTGTCTCAGGCAGGCGCTGTGCATGGAGCCCTGGGAAGCAAGCCCCCAACCAGTGGCCCTAGCCCCGCACCCTTGACCCCACAAGGTAGGGTGTTCTGAAGAGGAGGAGGGCTTGGTGAGAACTTCTTTCTGACTTTGGAGTGACTGGGAGGGGCCATGCACCTCAGGCCATGGGCCTTCTTGCATGTCAAACCTTATTTGTGATAATCTGGTTTCCACAAGTGTCATGGCATAAGCTTGCTTTATTTCTTTTGCTCCTAAATGTACTAGTTGAATATGGCCAAACCCACTGTCATATTCTAATAAAAACTCTGGGAGTCAAAGAGTTGACTCATCAGTTAAGAGTACTTGTTGTTTTGCAGAGGACTTGGGTTTGTTTCCTTGCACCCTCATGGTGGCTCACAGACATCTGTGACTCTAGTCCCAGGGGATCTGTCACCCTTTTTCTGACCTCTGCGGGCACTACACACACACCACACACCACACACCCACACACACACACACACACACACACACAATTTCTTTTTTAAGGAAAGAAACCTTAGGAACCACAAAATATTTAGAAGCTGTGCCTAGAACTCCCTGAGAGTAGACAGAGTCATGTACTTGGTAGTGTAGGATTTGCACACTGCTCTAGCTGGCCTATGCCCAAATGCTGCTGGGTTCCCAGCTTCTGACCTTTTCTCTGCCAGCTTCTCTAAGGCCTAACCCTTGCCTGGCATTGCTCAGTATATTAGAACTGATGGGTGGGTTTGATTCATGGGCAAGCAAGGAGCTACTACCCATTATATGATGATGACCTGTGGTTTTTCACCAGTGTAGGACAAAGGAGGTTATGAGGCTGGCTTGGGCAGGGACAGGTATGTGATCTGTCTGTTTCATAAGAGTCCTCACTCCAGTTCTCTGTACATAGCTGATCACTAGACCCTTAGACTCCTTTTATCTTCTTGGAACTTCAGGAACTAACTGCTATACCATGGCAGTCCACCTTTGGGAATTGAAAGCATATTGGTTTTCCTCTTTTTTTTAATTTTGGGGGCAAGGAGCACATGGGTTTTAGGAATTGAACTCCTCAAGCATTCTGGGCAAGTGCTCTACCATTAAACTACACTCTCATCCTCTTCAGCTGTTTGCTTTTACATTTGTAGTTGGTGTTCCAGGTCGAGTAGCAGTGAGCGCTATGGCTGTTGGAGAATCTGGACTGGCTTCCAAACCAGCTTCTCCTGCTGCAGGGCCCACCCAGGTAAGGCTTAGATGCAGGGGCACACAATTGCAAATGCAGGGTGCTGAGGTGGGCAACTTTTGGGAGCTTTTCTGTGGCAGCCAAGGCTCTGGTGGGTCCTTTTCAGTTTCAGAGATGAACATGCTCTTTGAATTAGAGCCTTGATTTAACACTCACTCCCAGAGAAAGAAATTTACCTGGGCCTCTGACTGCAGACATCAAGGTCTTTTTTTCCTTTTGTCTTATATTTTCCTTGGTTATAAATGTCCTCTATGTTTTGGGAGGAGAGAGAAAGTTCTCTGCCTCTTCATTTTTTTCTGCTAGTAGTTTCATAGAAGTAGGCCATGGATGTTGAAATGAATGTGTGTGTAACAGTTCCCAAAGCGTTTGATGAAATGACTTTGTCAGATTGTTTCTCAAATAACCTCTTTTTTTTTCCCCCCCACTTTGGGCATATTCTTCTGACATTTTTGGTGAAGGAGGAAAAAAGCAGACTTTTGAAGGAACGGTTGGATCAGATGCATTTTGTCAATGACCGGCGCTGTTCCCAAGCTCCAGTGTATGGCAGAGACTTGCTGAGGATTTGTTCTCTGCCTGGCAGAAGGAAGAGGCCTTTGTGCTGGTCTTTGGATAACAACCTGGGGAAGGTTTCCAGAGCAGCAGACTGTTACACGTCAGCCTCAAAAAGTAAAGGAGATCTGATTGTGACATTGAGTCAGCGTCAAGAATCTCTTCAGGATGTTCTTGACAGGTGAGTTGTGTGTATGCAGGAAAATGTTTTTATCTTTTAGTATTTGTTCCTTCACTCTGCTTCACACCGGAAATTTTCTTTTTTCTTTTTAATTTTAGTTCTCATGTGCGGGCTGGCTTCCAATTCCATGTAGCCAGCCTAGGCTTTCCTTGAGCTCCTCCTGATGCTCATGCCTCCTCCTCTTAAGTGCTGGTTTGAGTCATCCTTTGGATTTTTTTTTTTTTCTTTTTTTTTGGTTTTTCAAGACAGGGTTGTTTTTTGTAGCTTTGGAGGCTGTCCTGGAGCTCACTCTTTAGACCAGGCTGAGAGATCCACCTACCAGGGCCTCCCTATTCTGGGATTAAAAGCATGTGCCACCACTGCCTGGCTTGAATTTTTTTTTTTTTTTAAATATTCTTATTTCCAATTGCTTTCTTCCAGGTTGTCCTTTTGAGTTTCTTGGGGGTTTGAAGTAGTTTGGAGTATCTATCTTTGGGATCATAGAGCCCAAAGGTTATTAGCTGGCTCGTTTAGAAAACTGACCCACAAAACTAGCCGTATGCAGAACAAACTAGTAGAACAGCCCCCAGTGGGCTAGGTGCCACATAGCTAACCACACTGTTCCTGCTAGGCCTTGATATGTCAGACTACTGACTTGATAGGTCAAACTACTGACCCTCTATGGAAGTCTCTTTATGTCCTGGCCCTGCTCTCCAGGCTTTACTTCAGGGTCTGGCTGAATCACATTGTTACTGTCTGTCCAAGGGAAGGCCCTGATCATCCAGTGACTGAGCATCAGCGTTCAGAGCTTGCCTTTTAGGTCTCAGGTCAGTGAATCAGTAAAGAAAAGGGCAGGGAGTCCTTCTTAGGCTGAAACACCTGTGCCAGGTCTTCCCAGGCTGTGTGGTAGATTTGTAGTCATTTGTTCTCATGCCCTTGTTTGTCTTTGAAATGCTGGTCATGTTTATACATCATGGAGGGCCACTTCAGTGTAGATGTACTTGGGAGTAAACCACCAAGACATAGCTTCAGGGGCTGGAGAGACAATTAAGCAGTTAAGAGCCCATATTACTTCTGTAGAGAGCCCTAGTTTGGTTCCTAGCCCCCACATTAAGGAGTTTACAAGTGCCTCAAGCTCCATGGTATCTGACATCTTCTGGCCTCTATAGGCACTGTATGCATGTGTACAAACCCTTACATAGACACACATACATTTGCATAACTAAAAATAAAAATAGCTAGGCATGATAGTACACACCTTTAATCCTAGCACTTGGGAGACAGAGGCAGGCAGATAGAGTAATCTAAGAACTCCAGGCCAGCCAGAGTTACCTAGTGATTGGCTGGCCTGGAGCTATTATTTTACCCCATATAAATGAAGTAAAAAAAAAAAAAAAAAGTATGTATGTATGTATGTATGTATATAAAGTAAGTAAATAAATGAGTATTAAAACTGAGCTCTAGCTAATGCCCAGGGGAAGGTTTTCTGGTATAGACCACTGGAGGTTAGCCAGTAGTATCAAGTTGGCCATGTCCTTGTTGTTCTGTTTGCCTGCAGGTTGTTCTGGGTCTGGCCCCTCTCAGTTACATGTCATCTGCAGCATTTAGAATGTTTTCATCCGGAGACAATTTACTTCTGTCCCAAGAGTCCCAGCAAGAATATTTGAGCCAATGGCTATGGTCTGGAGAAAGCCCTGTGCTTATCTTTAGATCTGTCCTGATAGAAGTTGTCTTGGGGTGGTGTCCTTTAGCTGTGAAAGATGATGCTACCTTGCAGTGATAGAATCAGGAGCTCAGGCTGCTTGTCTGACAGTGCACACTGTCAGAGGTTTCTGTCCTTGTCTAGAAGCCTCACAGCTGCCATGGAGCTACATAATGACCACACATGATTTCTGCTCCTCAGGGTGGCCTGTGTGATTCCTCCAGTGGTGGCTACACCACCCTCCCTGTGGGTGGCAAGGCCGCCCTCACTGTATAGCAACCGGTTGCAAGCTCTGAGGCAGTGCCTGAGGGAGCATACCCGCCCCTTCCATCGGCAGCTGCAGCAGCTGACAACGCTACGCTCACTGCAGTTCCCAGAGCTGAGGCTGGTACAATTCGACTCAGGTATGACAGACCCTGTTGGCATGGATTATGAAATGAGAAACACTTGTTCTGGAATACAAAACTCTTGCTCTTTCTTGCTTTCTTTTTTTAGGGAAGCTAGAAGCTTTAGCAATCCTGCTTCAGAAACTGAAATCTGAAGGACGTCGAGTATTGATTTTATCTCAGATGGTTCTTATGCTGGATATTTTAGAGATGTTTTTGAACTTCCATTATCTCACCTATGTACGGATCGATGAAAATGCCAACAGTGAGCAACGGCAGGTAAGAAATAATCTTCCTGTCATGGTGATTCCTTGGTGTGACCCTGCATCATAGGATCAAGGCCTCATTTCCTACAGCTGTGAGGTCAGAGTCTCATACCCCTTCTAGCGTTTAGGCACATCTAAATTCCAAACTGACTCTTTTCTTGATGTTTTGTCTCCCTCCCCCAAACAAGTGTATCTCAGAACAAATAAAGGGGTAATCTGTAGTGACATTGCATTTAGTACTGACATACTAAAGATTTAAGAGGTGGTTATGTAGCAAATATATGAGTGCTTTTTAGACTGACTTAAATAAAAAATTGAGGGCTGGAGAGATATCTCAGAGGTTAAGAGCCAATTCCCAGCTCACAACCATCTAAAATAGGATCTGATGCCCTGTCTGGCCTGCAGGCATACATGCAGAACCCTCATATACATAAAATATAAATAAAATAAAAAGAAATACAAATTGAAAAGTATAGCCTCTGTTTTGCTTGCCATATTTGCTAATTTTTAACATTTGCTTAATAGACAATGCTGGTAGGAGCCTCCTTAGCATAACTTTCCAGAAAGCAGCATGATTGCCAACCTCAGAGATGGATAGACCCTTGATCTAGTGCTCCCTATCCAGGGCTTCTACACAACAGCAATAATGCCTCACTGCATGCTTGGTACATAAAATGGTTCACTGTAGAAATGCACATGATGAGCTGTGACCAGTAACAGAGTGAATATTCAGCAGATGAAAGTACACAAAGAAGGTCTGTGCCTTGTCAGGGAACCACAAACTGTCTTCATAGCTTCACATAACAGACTAGAAGGTCTTTACCAGAAGTATCTCAGTACAAACCTGAGCATATGGTACAAGGGGTCCTGAGTGAAAAAAAGGGGGTGTGCTAGACAAAGATCAAGTTGCCCTTTTTATATTCCATAGCAAATAGAAGGTTCCTATGTAACATAGATGTAATAGAAAAGAGCTAATTTTGTTGGTAATAGTTACAAAAGAGAAGTATTCACATTTTCATTACAATTCATTGTCCCAAATGGCTAGAGATATCTTTTTGTACTTCCTCAGCCTTACTCCAGGGGCTTCTTGCCTGTAGAGTGCCCTGGCATTGCCTGAGGATAGAGGAGAAAGCACAGCTCCCTCCCTAGCAAGACTCTGCTTTCTTGTGGGGCCTACAGATTGGGCTGACAGCAAGTGCCAGATAGGGCATGCCATCTTCTGCACATGTTGCCTGTATTCTCAAAACACAACACACAGGTGCTTGTGGATAGAAGAAACTGCATGCATTCAGGAGAGCCAGGGTAAGATGTTATACATGGAACAAATCAGACTGTTACAAAACAGATCATAGAAAGTATCAAAGCTCTCCCAGTGTTCTTGAGCAAGGTTAACCTGAGCATTTTGTTTCCTCTCAGGAGCTGATGAGGAGTTTCAACAGAGACAGGCGGATTTTCTGTGCCCTTCTCTCTACCCATAGCCGTGCCACTGGCATAAACCTTGTTGAGGCTGACACCGTGGTGTTTTATGACAATGACCTAAATCCTGTTATGGATGCCAAAGCCCAGGAGTGGTGTGATAGAATTGGAAGGTGCAAGGACATCCATATATACAGGTGATGACAGTCCTGGCCAACTTATAGAATTACACATAATGAACTTTGTAGAGGGCATGGATGCAGGAATTCAGTATAAGAGGTAGAGCCAAATGTAATATGTCGCCATTGAATTTTATAGGCTTCTACCTAACTGAGGTTTACTTTCCATTTAGACATGTTTCTAGTGTTGCTGTTTTGTCTGGTCTTTGTACTTGACATTTACTTGAATTTGTAATCAGTTGGGTAGCTTAGGCCCGGTTGTTGGCTTGCTGTTGTTCAGTGCTCACACTTTGCATCTCTTTTAGAATAACTGGAGAGCACAGTTTATATTTGTGTTGTTTTAAGAATTGTAAAATACAAAGTATCTGTTGAAAGATTTTAGATATCTCATTATCTTCAAGCATATAAATTGTAACTGACCATTCACAATTAATTGAGAAGACGGAAGGGCCCATGGCTCACTTTTAAATTTCTGGTTGTTATTATTCTAATATAGTGCAAGTCTGAGTGATCATGTTAGAACCTTAATTGGTCTAAGTGAGAGGATGGGGCTGGTCACTCTTTCCTGCTTAGGAACACAACATAGTCTAGATAGGCAAAAGATGCATGGGCTCCCTGTTGACTATTGAAGAAAGATATAAGCAAATTAAACAGGTAGATGATAGATTGGAGAGAGTGGCTTACAGTTCTTAGGGCAAAAGTCAGATTAGTTTCATAAGTTGAAAAATAAGGTGCTCTTATCTAAAAGTGGGGATAGACCTCTCTATCCCTGTGGAATATAAATATTCAATTCCAGGTGTCAGAGTCTGAAAAAGAGCCAGCTTGCTGTGAGGTAGCATGATACTCAGGTTAAACATGCAGTCTCTTGAGGCCACAGACAGGCAGCATATCAAAGAGAAGCCGAGTCTAACAATGGAAGCCACTGTGTCTATGGTGCACAGGAATTGTCTCAGCTCTTCTGAAAGCAGCTTGGGAAGACTTGCTGAATTAAAATGTTGTGACCTTTATCCTGTCATAACCACACTGAGGTTGTTCATTGCGGCAGGATTGGGGAGTACCCATTAGGGTGCAGCCATTACACCTGTTGCAGACAGAAGGAAAACATGTTCATAGGGAGCTTCTTCATGCCTCTTAGCAAAGGGAGCAAGTGTGGGTTAGCGTGTCATGAAAGATAGGATTTGCCTCATGCCGCACACATCAAAGGCCTGTTGGGGTACACCCAGGCTAATAGAATTTTGCTAATAGCTTTTGCATTGGCTACCTTGAGGAAGGGGTTGGAAAGGCAAACAGTGATAAAAACATGTATTGCAAGAATTCCTTCCCATCTGCCTCCTTATAAGGAAGGCCCCAAAGACAAGCCTAAGTTTGATATCACTAAAACCTCCTAACTTGGGAAATATTGCCATGAGTTTATTGGGCTTACTTACAGAGCAAGAGTGGTTTCTTACAGGAGTGTGGGTAATCTCAAAGCAGTAGCTGCACCCTAGAATGGATAGTAACTTCTGTATAGCTGCATAGATGGAATCCCTTCTTCCCATCTTCCCTGGGCCTGTATACTTTAGCCCCTCCACATTCAGTTAGTGCAGAATTACATACAAAGCTGAGAGCCCTGTGGCCTTCCCCTAGTCCATCTTTCCCAGAGAACAACAGTAGTAGATAGGTCCACTGATGGCGGTCTATTGCAAGCAGGCACAGCTGATCTGATGAAGATGGCGGCTTATTTTGTTTGCTTTGGCCACATTGTACAAAGGTCTGTTAAAAAGTCACCCACAGGACCCCATGTGCTCAGTTGGTTAAAGCATTTACTACCAGGCCTGATGACCTGAGCTCGATCTCCAGGACCTACAGGGTAGAAGGAGCATTGCCAATTAGTAGTGATAACAAGTTGTTCTCTGACTTCCACATAGGAGTTGTGTAGCACATACATGCCTGTGTGCTTGTATTCTGTCTTCTCTCCCTCTCTCTCATTTTTTCTTTTAAATGTTACCCATATGGGACATGGTGATACATGCTAAAATCCCAGAATTCAGGAGGCTTAGACAAGGAAGATCATGAGTTTGAAGCTAGCCTGGGCTACATAGTGATATCTTGTCTTTATAAACTCAACCCACTTCATGTATGTACTATTATTACATGAATGTAAGATGGTACCTGTAACAGGAGTTCTAATTGGTTTTAATAATAAAAACCCGGAGTCAGATATAGGGGTAAATGCTGAAAGATCAGAGAGACAAAGGAGCTAGCCATAGCCACACCTTACCTCGCCAACTTCTCAGCCTAAAAGAGAGAAGGAGCTCCAGTCTCATCCTACCTTATATTTGTCTCTCTGCCCAGCCATATCTCTTCCTGTCTCCACCTCTCTAGTGCTGGAATTAAAGGTGTGAGCCACCACTGCCTGGCCTCTATGGCTAACTAGTGGCTTAGTTAGTTCTGCACTCTGATCTTCAGGCAAGCTTTATTTGTTAGAGCACAAACAAAATATCACCACAGGTACTGTCTTGTTCTGTGCGTGCAGAGTGTTGATGTGCTTATAAACCAAAGGTGAACAGAAATAAAATGGTTTTAGTGGTGATCTCAGATTAGAATCTGACTTTTCCCCATTTCTCATGCTCATACATAATCAAACTGTGTATAACTGAACCTGCATTAATGATGAAACAACAGTACTTGATTGGTCACTTTCTTAAAAGATATTTTATTTTTATTTTATGTGCATTGGTGCTTTGCCATGGGTGTTGGGTCCCCTGGAACTGGAGTTTCAGACAGGTGTGAGCTGCCATGTGGATGGTGGAAATTGAACCCAGATCCTCTGGAAGAGCAGTCAGTGCTTTTAACTGCTGTGCCATCTCTTCATTCCCCGATTGGTCACTTTTTTCCTAGGTTCCCTATTTGGAGTTTTTTTTCTCTTGGAAAATTCTCATTTGTTCTTTTTCATCCCTGTGAAAATTTTTGTTAAAATGGCTTAATTTAAGCTTTCTTGACTTTTAGCATTTAACATTCTAAAAGTAAGCAGAACTGAAGAGATGACTGCTCTTCCAGAGGACCCAAATTCAATTCCCAGCACCCACATAGCAGCTCACCAACTGTCTGTGACTCCAGTCTCTGGGGAATGCAGTACCACCCTCTGGCTTTCACAGGCACAGACATACATGCCGGCAAAACACCCATACATATATAAAATGTTTTAAAAGTATATTTTAAAACAAAGCAGTGAATGTTATAGAAAATAATAGACTGGGTGATGGGGCCTGCTTGGGGCATTACCCCAAGAGACTGTCTATTCCATTATCTGTTAAGTGGGGACAACACCCACAGTACTCTTCTTAGAGCACCTTCTGTTGTCCTAGCAGCTTGCTGGAGACAGGAAACTGTTGATACTTAAGTTAGAATGGGACATCTCTTAAAAGTTTCTCACTAGGCAAGTCAGAGAGAATCACTGTGCCTGTTGTGGTCAGAGAGTGTCTAAGTGAACAGACAGTAGGGATGAGTTCGGAACTGAGTGAGACATGTCTTAGTAGAATGTGGTGGGAGAAACATTGGCAAGCAGAATGATGGACCAAAGACTCCAGGGCTTACTAGAGCTGAGGTTGGAGAGATTGACAGGTGTTGATCAGCACATGAGGCATCTGCTGCTTCCCTGGCTACCATCTGGACAGCTATGCCTGGTATTGGCATGTGTTTCTAGGTGACTTAACTGTATACGCATACATATTTTTTTTCTTTTGTAGGCTTGTCAGTGGCAACTCTATTGAAGAGAAATTGTTGAAAAATGGAACTAAAGATTTGATACGGGAAGTAGCTGCTCAGGGAAATGACTACTCGATGGCATTCTTGACTCAGGTAGCTTTCATTTGTTAAGAATCTTCATTGAGGCCAGGCATTGGTGGTGCACGCCTTTAATCCCAGCACTTGGGAGGCAGATGCAGGAGAATCTGTGTGAGTTTGAGGCCAGCCTGGTCTACAGAACGAGTTCCAGGACAGCCTCCAAAACAATACAGAAAAACCCTGTCTCAGAAAAAAAAAAGAAAAGAATCCTCAATGACTGGGTATGGTAGTGCAGGACTGTAGTTCAGCACTCAGGATGTTGAGGCAGGAGGATGATACTTTGAAAATCAGCCTGGTGTACGTAGGGAGACCCTGTCTCACCTCCCAGCTTCCCTCAGTGAGGAATGGCACATTGAACAGAACCATCTTATTTTGAATTCACTAATGAGGGATGACTCTCTGGTGGGTTTTTATTGTGCCCAAGGCTCAGGTCAGGTATAGGATTGTGTCTGTTCCTGGAAATGATTGTACTTACTGCTTATGTCCAGCGAACTATCCAGGAGCTGTTTGAAGTTTATTCGCCCATGGATGATGCCGGCTTTCCTGTGAAAGCTGAAGAATTCGTGGTGCTTTCTCAGGAACCCTCGGTCAGTGAAACCATTGCACCCAAGATTGCAAGACCTTTCATAGAGGTGAGGAGAAATACAGTCAACCATGAGACTTGTTTACCAATGAATGTTTTACTTGAGTCTTGACTATGTGTACTTTCCCAGTGTATGTGTGTGGTTTCACTCACCTGGCCTCTTGAGTACTCAGTCTGTACTCGTACTTGATTCTCCCCTCCCTTGATCCTGCAGCCTTCCTGCCATCCTTCCTCCTCTGTCTCAACTGTAAAGAGGTGTCGAGGGAGTGGAGGAGATGGTGTTAGCCGTTGTCTTCTTTCCATTAGGACTATCTGAGCCGAACTTGATTTTTAGTACCAATCTGTCTTATTTCTTCCTCCCCTGACTCAAAGAATCACCAGTTCCCTGTGGCCCCCAAGCAGTAGAAACACTGTTCACCTGTGTTGAATGCATTGTCCCTGTAAGACACATAGCTGAATTTGAAGACTGAGTGAGATGAGGCCGTTGAATGTCTCTCTTTACCATCTCTCACTTTGGTGTCTTTTTAGGGTATAATGTTTTGGTTTCATATGAAAGAGATTACTGTTTCATTGTAGGCACTAGGAGATTTGGAGTTGCAAACATGGGTCCTGTGTAGTGGCCATCTGTATAGGAACATAGAAGATACCTTTCCAGGCTACTTAAATCCTCTCCCTCCTGCTCCTGGCTTGACCTTACTTGCCCCTCGATTGCTGAATACTTCTCTACCACAGCCTCAAGTGAAGGGAAGAGGTTCCTTCCTCCCCAGACCCTGCTCTCCATGCGTTCTTTGAGTGTCCTCCCCAGGGAAGCTGCCACACCTCTCATTTTGCTGTTTGACTAGGGTGGTGACCACTGACTTGTTGCTTGCTTTTCTGCAAAAGCCATGAATGATGGCATGTATCAGTGCCCTGGTTTGCTATTGGCCTGTACTCCATGCTATTATAGCTTGTCTTTACCAACAGTGGTGATGGCCAGCTACTTTCTGATACTAAAAGTGAACTATTTAGAAAGTCCCTCTTTTAGCCTCTACTCCCTTCCAGAAGTGACTACTCTTGTGGCATCTTACTACATTTTCCTATCTTGAGCTGGATATGAATGGAATTCTGTACTTTAGGTCTGTCTGCTTTTCGTTTCATGCGGCAGTAATGTATCTGTCTTCATTCTGGATAATGATATGTACATTGCTCATTGGACCTGTGTGTGGATGACTGTTTTGAAGTGTGCTTTTGCAGTGACTCATGTGAGCATGTACATGCATTCCTACTGAATGTAGGCCTTGAAGTTGAGTCTCTTGAACACATGACTAGTGGATAGAGCTAAAAGGTATACCTCAGTGGTGTCTGAGTGCTGCAGCTTCTGTGCATCGCCCAGAGCTTCTGCGGGGTGGCTTCTCTCTTAGGCTTATGGTCTCATGTGGTAGCTTTATTTTGCATCTTGCTGTTGTATAGTAGTGAATCTGAACACCTTTTCATGGGTTTGCTGGCCATGAACGTCTTCTCCCTTGCCCCAGTGCCAAGGATGAAAACCTGGGCTTCCTGCAAACTTCTACTACTGAGCCTCATCCCCAGTCCCTGGACAATTTTTTTTTTTTTTTAATTGCCTGGTCAAGGTTCTTGGTTCTTGGATTTTGGAGTTTGGTGGGCCTTTTTTGTTTGTTTGTGTATGTGTGTTTTATTTTGTGGTTGCATATGTTCACATGAATGTGAGTGACTGCAGAGACCAGAAAAGGGAAACAGTTTCCTTGGAACTAGAGTTACAGGCTGTTGTGAACTCCCCCCCCCCCCCCCCCCAACGTAGGCACTGGGAACTGAACTCAGGTTCTCTGAAAGAGAAGCAAGTGCTTTTTAACTGCTGAACCACCTATTTAGCCCAATATAACATGAGAGAGTGGGGGGGAGAGGGAGAGAATGAATGAATAGCTTGCAAGAGTCAGTTCCCTCCTTCCACCATTCAGGTTCTGGGGATTGAATTCAGGTTATCAATCTTGGCAACACAAATCTTTACCCGATGAGCCATCTTACTGTGTCTGTTCCCTGGTGAAGGTTATTTTGTTTTCTCCTTTCTCTTTCTCCTACTGTCCTTTTGGATGCTTTATGTCTTACGTTCTTGATCTTGCTAAACAGAGATTCTTAGATCTGTGGTCCTCATCTGACTTTCTGTATCCAGCTTTAAAGATTCTCCAGGTCACCATGCTGCCTCCTTTATTGTCTTCTGGGAATGATGTTGGGGGTCTTGTGCAGTACGATCATCTTTTAAACATCAGGTTTTGCCAAATACTCTGAAAACTGGTTGCATGGGTTTTTTGTTTGTTTGTTTGTTTTTTGACCATAGCTATATTGTCTCATATGTGATCACCTCTTTTTACATCCCCAGCATCCCCATGATCAGATATGTGCTCCTGGAAGCTTAGAAGGGCAACAGTGGCAGCATTTTTTTTTTTTTTTTTTTTTTTTTTTGGTTTTCAAGACAGTTTCTCTGTGTAGCTCTGGCCATCCTGGAACTTACTATGTAGGCCAAGCTGGCTTTGAACTCAGAGATCTGCCTCCTCTGCCTCCCAGGTGCTGGAATTAAAGGAATTAATGGCAGCTTTTTAATGGACATGCTTCATATTCTAATAAAGTTAGCTGCCCTGTATGTTCTGGGCACCTGTGCTACTGTTTTCTGTAGACTTGCTTTTGTATTTGGGCTGTCAACAGGTCTCTGTTTTGTTCTACCTTGTGTCAGCAGCTGTGGTTAGTACTATATACTAGATGTAAGATGAAATTACATGGTCCCTTTTCATTCTTAGAGTATGTAATTTTTGGTGGCCTCATTTTCCCGTTTCTTTTGGCATGTTATCATCTGTAACCCATGCCAGTGTTTTGTTCTTCCATGGAGTTTTATTGTAGTTTTAGAAGTTTTAGATCCATCCATAGCTCCCATCACTGGAATGTCTGTCATCAGCATGTTTATGAGTCTTAAAAGAAGGGAAGTACCCCTGGAGGCTTGCTGGTTGTTCAAGGTACAGGTTTTTACTTTAACAGTACAAACTCCTTCGTTTGCAAAGTCTCAGTGCACACTCCCTGTAGGCCCTCAAGAGCATTGAGTATTTGGAGGAAGACACACAGAGGTCCACAGAGGAAGCTATGTCTGGATCCAGCACTGTAGTCATGTCTTCAGACTCAGACAGCCCTAGATATGAGGAGGAGCCATCCCAGCTGGAGGAGCTGGCTGACTTTATGGAACAGGTTTGGGATTTTTTTTTTCTTTAAAGCTAAGAATTTTAGCATTTGAACCCTTTTGTAAAATATTTTTTTGTTTGCTTTGACTAAGAACAGTTACTTTTTAAATTAAATGTTTGTGAGAGGATTTTTTTTTTTGAGTTTTATTGATCTCTATTAAGTTGCTACTAACCCAGTTCAAAAATGTATTTTTGAAATAGCTTACACCAATTGAAAAATATGCATTGAATTACTTGGAATTGTTCCATACAACCATTGAACAAGAAAAAGAGAGAAGCAGTGAGGTAAGAGAATCAAGTTTTGGTCAGTTTAACATATGAAAAGTAAAAATTTCCAGTGCTGCATTTGATTTGAGGTGACTATGACTCCATGGAATTAAAGGGATAAAGCCAAATCCTAGCAGTGCAGGCCTTAGTGAGACTGTGATCTTGAAAGCCCAATGCAGGCAGCTGAATTGCTTGCTTCTCACCTTGATGTCACTGCACTTGTTTTGAAGTAGCTTGGAGCTGATACAAGGTTACATATTGAGGGGCAGAATACTTGCAGCAGTAAGAACTGAGACATCCCTTAAGGGAGATGGGGCTTGGTCGTGTGTGCACAGTGGCAAGGGGGTTGACCACTAGGAAGAGATTAGAAGCAACCTGCCTGCCTGCTCAGATCTTGAGAGTTCTTCCCCCCATGCTTTCTCTTAGCAGGATTTGGTGATGGCATCAGTGAGAGACTGGGAATCCCGCAATGCTAGGGCCCTGCAGGAAAGGGAGGCCCAGCTGCAGCTTGAACAGGAAGAGGCAGAGCTTCTCACCTACACTCGGGAGGATGCCTACAGCATGGTATAAACTAGTACTCATCTCCTTTCCTCACATGACTGCTGTTCTAACACGTTGAGGTCTTAACTGATACTGATTTAACCCTCGGCAGATGGTATTTTTAGGATTTAGATAAAACACACTTTTAAAACCACACTCATCTTTGAATATTGATGAAAGTATGTGATTTTTGGCATGTACCATGAAGTAAAGCCTTTGTTGTATTTTAAACTTCTGTTCTGTAGGAGTATGTTTATGAGGATGCTGACGGACAGACAGAAGTCATGCCGGTACGTGACCTCTCCCTTCTCCCTGAGTGCCTGAGCAAAGGCTAACCTTCTCATAACTTGGCAGCTTATGGAACCTGCTTTCTCTGTACAGCTCTGGACACCACCCACTCCTCCTCAAGATGACAATGATATCTACATTGACTCGGTTATGTGTCTGATGTATGAGACTACACCTATCCCAGAAGCTAAGCTGCCTCCTGTTTATGTGAGGAAGGAGCGCAAGCGACATAAAACCGATCCATCAGGTACGTACCCCTCTGCTGGAATGGGATGAGGGACCCACCCATTGTCTCTTGTACCATATTCCAGGGTCCTCCAATTTCAGGGATTATGGTTGTTAGTGTAGAAGACCACTAGGATGATGGGTACATGGCATACACCTGCATTCCCAGCACTTAGGATGCTGAGGCAGAAGGATCATAAAGAGTTCATGGCTAGCCTGTGCTAAATAGTGAGACTGTTTTGAAACTCCCAAATAAATAGGAAACTCAAGAAAGTGGTTTTACTTTTTTTTTTTTTTTCTCGAGACAGAGTTTCTCTGTGGCTTTGGAGGCTGTCCTGAAACTAGCTCTTGTAGAGCAGGCTGGTCAAGAACTCACAGAGAATCCACTTGCCTCTGCCTCCCAAGTGCTGGGGTTAAAGGCATGGGCCACCACCGACCGGCTCAAGAAAGTGGTTTTTTACATTTTAGCAGTTGTTTCCATAGCCTCGTGGTGTATATACCTTTTGTGTGCCTTCTTTCCCTTTTCCCACTCCACTGGTGAGGAAATGTCCTATACTGCTGAATCCCACTTCTGTTTAGCTGCAGGCAGGAAGAAGAAGCAGCGGCATGGTGAGGCAGTAGTCCCGCCACGATCCTTGTTTGACCGGGCGACACCTGGCATGTTGAAAATCCGACGTGAAGGCAAGGAGCAGAAGAAGAACCTGCTGCTGAAGCAGCAGACACCCTTCGCCAAGCCTCTTCCTACCTATGTCAAGACCTCAGGGGAGCCTGCCCAGGACAGTCCCGACTGGCTCATTGGCGAGGATTGGGCCCTGCTACAGGTGAATGACTATGTTGTCTTTGGGTTGAGCATTCCCATGGTTTGTTTGCTCCCTCACATTGATTCACACACAGTGCTCTGTAGTGTGTCTTTTGCCCTTGGAAAGACAGCACCAATAAATTTGAAGTGTGTTGACCTGTGTGCTCTGAAACCTCATCCTCCAGGCTGTAAAGCAGTTACTTGAACTGCCATTGAACCTCACGATTGTGTCACCTGCCCACACTCCTAATTGGGACCTTGTCAGTGATGTTGTCAACTCCTGTAGCCGAATTTACCGGTCTTCCAAGCAGTGCCGGAATCGTTATGAAAATGTCATCATTCCCAGAGAGGAGGGGAAGGTGAGCTTGTACCCCTTGGTTTCCCTGGGAAGAACTGGCTTCTTCAGTAGCCAGGTCTTGCTGTGTATTGCTGGGCAGTGTAGCTGTCCCTGTAGACTATGGTGAAGTCAGCCTTCTTCATCAGTGAGGCCTACGTCTACACAGTACCTGGCACGTAATGGACATTCATGGGGAGTCAATAACCTTGCCCTTTATCATGGTTAGTGTTTGTGTATGAACCAGATGCCAGCCTCTGCTGTGGCTGCAGTGTAGAAAACTATGCCATCGAGGTTTCAGATGAGTAAGGGAAGAACTCTTCTTTGACTTGTTACCACCTCACTTAAAGAAGAGTCTGTTCATGCTTTCTGTGCCGCTTTCAAACACAGTAGTGGTTTGACAAGCAGTCTCTGTTTCTGGGTTAACATTGGCATTAAAAGTGTTTATAGTATAGCCAAACCATTGTGTGTTTCATTCAGGAAGCCAGCTATGGTTTGCATCCTGGACCAAAATGAGTCAGTGCTGCTGCTTAGGGACATGCAGGCCTCTACTCAGCTTTTCCCTTACCTGCTTGGAGTTTGTCTATTTCCATTTCTCCATTTGGCTTTCTTTACACAGCTCCCTCTTTTTTTTTTGCCACTTGACAGCTAGTTTTTCTACAGTGTCCACAGGCCATGTCACACCAGCATTTACAGATGTTCAGCTCTGATGCCAAGGCAGGTGTACAGAGAACACTGCCTTTCTGACCACATCAGTATGTCCATTAGCATAGGAGCAACAGCGATGTTGGTAAGACAGGCATCTAGTCCTTATTTTGGTACAGTTTGTGAAAACTACCTTGGTGTTGAGAGCCACGTGTGCCCTCAGGATGAGGTTGCCACACTCACCTCACTTCTGTGACCACTGTTTGAACCATCTCTTGTCATTTCTAAAACACTCGTCTCAGAACAAAGCATTTGTTTGCTTTTTTTAATAAAAAAGCAAGCCTTCCTCATGATACCATTCTGTGGTTCCTCCACCGTAAAACTTCCTGAAATCTCACATTCACTCTTTTATGTTCTGGAAGCATTTATAATAATAGCAGCCATTACCTTAATATTGAAAAAAAAATAAAGCTAAAATATTTTCTTCTCTTATAGCTGATTTGTGAAGCTAATCCAAAGAAAAAGGCACAAAATATTTATAAGGTACGAGGAGGTGTTCTGAATGAGATGGAAAGCTTTCTGTAAGTGCCTGTGAAAAGGAGCACAATGAGGTTCAGACTGAGCCCGGACTGTAGTAGCAGAAACACAGCACTTAGGGTTTTCTCAAGTGCCTTTTATTCCTATGCATAGAGGCTTTGCTTCTTCACATTAAGGAACCACACAGTGACTCACTGAGCCCCTCAGGGACATCCAGAGCCTCCCTGTTGTTCACACCCTGTTGAGGCCTGTGATGTGGTGGCTAGATGCCAGTAAGCACACCATACTTAGCCCTGGAGCTGTTGTTCATAGCTAGGACCAACCAGGGCTTTATTGCTGAACACATATCCTTCCTGCCTTTGGCCTTGTCTTACCTTCACTCTGGTGGTGGGTGTGATGCACTAGTTCTTACTCTCCCTTCTCCCTGTTTCCCTTTGTTTAGTTTTGTTGTTGTTGTTTTTAAAAAAGAGGATGCTTATATAGGGGGCAGTATTCAAGAAGCAGATCCTCCAGCAACAGATGTGTATTTGCCTAAGTACATCACAGCTCTACTGGGTATACATCACTGACTGCAAGTAATGGGGTTGGTCAGGATTTAGAGATACTGAAGGGCAGAGAGAGCGAGCCCTGTGAGCTCTTGTCCCTGACTTGTGACCTGGCACAGACTATCTTTGGGCTTTCTATATCTGAGGGGGGAAGTGTTTAGATGTCTTGGGAGCAGGTAGACAATTGTTGAATTTTGTTTACCTGTGACATTTATAAGCAGGAAGGATAACTAGGTACAAATGTCACAGCCTGCAAGGAATGCAGTTTTATACATCTGTGTTACCCTCACCGTCCACTATGGGTAGAAGGTACCAGTATGGGATTCCCACTGCCTCATCTGTCCATGGGTATTAGACTTAATATTGAAGACTTGCAGCTAGCCCCACCCTGTCACCTGCCGTGTGTAAACTCCAGAGTGTGACCCTGAATGTTTTGTGCAACCTTTCTCTCCTCAGTGAAGGGGAGGCTCAACTGAGCAAAGTTCCTAAGGATTGGGGATGTTGCCAGCTACCGGCAAATGATGGCCACTCAGTGTTGCAACTGTTGAGTTATATTATCCCAGAAAGAAAGGAAGGGAATGGGACTTGGGTGCAGCCATCGGAACTTAGCCACAGGCTAAGTTTCCAGAGTAGTGTGTCAGGCTAATGGTCTAAACTTGGTGAGCTCCTGTCAATTTTGTTTCAGAGTAAGAACAACCGTCCACTCCGCACCAGCCAGATTTATGCCCAGGATGAGAACGCCACTCACACCCAGCTGTACACAAGCCACTTTGACCTGATGAAAATGACAGCTGGCAAGAGAAGCCCCCCAATCAAGCCTCTGTATGTTCCCTGGGCTCTCATTTCGTTACTGTGATTGCATCAGCTGAGAGGCTAGATATTGAGACTTGCTCTTGATTATGTTTTCCTCTTGTTTGGTAACCATTCTTGTTTCTGTGTTGCAGGCTTGGCATGAATCCCTTTCAGAAGAACCCCAAGCATGCCTCTGTGCTGGCAGAAAGGTACTTCTATGGATCAGGCACATTTTTCACCTTGTGTCATCACTATATAATGAACTATAGTATAAAACAGCATGATCGCCGGGCATTGGTGGCACACGCCTTTAATCCCAGCACTCAGGAGGCAGAGGCAGGCGGACCTCTGTGAGTTGGAGGCCAGCCTGGTCTCCAGAGAGAGTGCCAGGATAGGCTCCAAAGCTACACAGAGAAACCCTGTCTTGGGAAAAAAAAAAAAAAAAAAAAAACAGCATGATCTAAGCTTTGGCCATGATGGTGCAGACCCTGAAATTGAGAAACCTTGAGGTCTTTTGGGGTAGCCCCTGTCTGTCTGTCTGTCTGTCTGTCTGTCTGTCTGTCTGTCTGTCTGTCTGTCTGTCTGTCTGTCTGTCTGTCTGTCTGTCTGTCTGTCTGTCTGTCTGTCTGTCTGTCTGTCTGTCTGTCTGTCTGTCTGTCTGTCTGTCTGTCTGTCTGTCTGTCTGCCCCTTTCTCCCCCTCCCTCCCTCCTTCCTCTCCCTCTCTCCCTCTCTCCTTCCTCCCTTCTCCTGTTGCTTTGTGGCAGCAGCTTTGTTCTCTGGTACAGAACAAAGGCTAAGAGAATGATTGTTCTTCTGCCCTGCAAACACAACTTTTGTTGGTTGTACCATAAGAGGTTATTAAGTTCAGAGGTGAATGCACTTGGTTATTTTTTAATACAGGAAAAATGAATGAGTGGGTGGGTGGATTGTGAAATGGGAAGATGGGAGAATGTGAGCATTCCTTTGTAGCCGAGCTCTGGGCTAGATGCTGGTGGTGCTTTTTTGTAAGTTCTGAGATGAACTATTGGAAAGGAGATCGGCTCAGGTAAAACAGCCACCTGTCTGTTTTCATCAGTGCACATGTGCACACTGGTTGCTTCTTGTCCAGCCCCTGCTTTCCTGTTAAATGCTGTTTATGTCCTTGTTACATAGCTGTGGGAGTGGAGCTTGCCAAATGGTCAACTCATAACCCATTTACTGAGAGCCCAATAGCACTACTGTGCTTCCTTTAGCAGTGCCTTGTGTGACCTGGGCTTTTTTCATCTCATGATGTCATGGTGTCCCATCTCCTGGGGCTGGACCACCATGTGGAAACTTAAAGCCCCACCCTGCAGTGATTTTGTTTTGTTTGCCCTAGGGATTACCTTCAGAGGTGCCCTATATTACTCATTTGTTAACTGCACCTCTGCAGCAGTGCTTATTGAGTGGAATGATGAGTCAGTCAAGCTAGTGTTTGTTAGTAGGTCAAGGGCTACCATGGCACATAGTGCTTAGGAAGGGTACTGGCATGCCTTCCAGAGGTATGTGTAGCATGAAAGAGGGAGGAGAGGTTCTTCACAGATGCCTATGCTCTGAGTACACTACAGGACATAAAGGAGGATCCTTGGGGTTTGGGAGAAATAGTTTCAGGTACTAGGGTAGTGGGTGTTCAGTCACCTCCCTGGGAAGGTGGAATGTGAGCTGGGTCTTGAAAGGAATCTGAGGACAAGAGACTCAGAACCACCAGACCTGTATAGGCAAAAACAGACTGTACTGAAGGGGCTGTGAGACTTTTGTGGGCTATGGGCAGGCATTAATAAGGTCACTCAGGCCTATCGTGTAATGATAGCCAGATGAAAACCTTAGAGCATCTGCTCTGGGTTGCTAGTAAGAGGGTTGTATCTGTTTAGCCAGGTGTAGGACGTGGGGTGGTGTTTGTCCAGGGTTGTGGGATGGCTTTGGGCAGGCTCTAGGTTCTGTGGTAGGCTGTGGAAGACTTGTGAAGGTATGTCTGGGCAGACCCAGAGAGTTTACATAGAGTACTGCCTGATAGTAGATTCCTGAAATTGCAGAAAGTACTGAATGTCATGTACCTGGGAGTTTTGTTTATATTTGTTTTCTTTTTGAGACAAGGCTTTAGCACAGGCTGGCCTTGAACTTGTGGTAATCTTCTCAGCCTCCAGAGTACTGAGAATCCTTTACAGGTGTGACCTACTGTGCTCTGTATACTGTGTTTTCTAAAGTTAAAAACATTTAATTTAAGCATTACACGACTCCTTTTTGGCTTTTGTTTGTTTTTTTTTTTTTTTCAAAACAGGGTTTCTCTGTGGCTTTGGAGGCTGTCCTGGAACTAGCTATGTAGACCAGGCTGGTCTCAAACTCACAGAAATCCACCTGCCTCTGCCTCCTGAGTGTTAGGACTAAAGGTGTGTGCCACCAACGCCTGGCTTCTTTTTGGCATAATTACGTTACCAGCATTACTCTTTTTGTACATTATTAAGTCAGGTTTTGTTGTTCATTTGTGGGATTTTTTTTCTCCCCTTCCAGACAGAGTTTCTCTGTGTAATAGCTCTAACTGTCCTGGAACTTGATTTGTAGGCCAGGCTGTTTGTTTGTTTGTTTGTTTGTTTTTAGCACAAGCCTGAAATACAGTCAGTCTGGTAGCTGAGACTATGATAGGGTGACTAGTAGATGAGTAGTGTATACAGTGTGCACACCCTGGACCAAAACACAGGTCACACCCTGGGCTGCAATGAATGGGACAACGTATGTTATCATCAAACTAGTCAGGAAAATGTGCCATTTAAAACTAGTGAATTTTGGGCCTGGAGATAGGGCTCAGCAGTTAAGAGTTTGGTTTCTAAGAGTGGTCAGATGGTTCACAACCACCTGTTACTTCAGTTTCCCAGAATCTTCTGGCCTCCATAGACACCTGTATTCACAAATATAAGCTCAAATTTATAAAATTAAATCTATTTTAAAAAACAAAACAAAAACAAATGGGGATTGGAGAAATGGCTGAGAGGTTAAGAAGACTGGCTGCTCGTCCATAGGTCCTGAGTTCAGTTCCCAGCATGGGACCACCTCGTGGCTCACAACCATCTATGATGAGGTTTGGCGCCCCTTCTGGTGTGTAGGTATTCGTGCCAGAACACTGTATACGTAATAAATAAATCTTTAAAAAAACAAAAAAACAAAAAAACTAATGAATTGTTTATAGAATATTGTGTGTGTGTGTGTGTCCGTCCGTCCATCCATCCATCCATCCATCCATCCCATGGCTGATATATGTAAGTGAAGCAAGCTTTGACTTTTTATCTTACAGTGGGATCAACTATGACAAGCCGTTGCCTCCCATTCAAGTTGCTTCTCTCCGAGCAGAGCGAATTGCAAAAGAGAAAAAGGTATGGTACCCTGGACCCTGGGTCCTCTCAGAAACATGCTTCTGTGACATGATGTCACCCTGGGTTAGGTCCAGCTTCTTTAGCAGATTCTCTTCCCATATGATCCTTCTAGGCTTTGGCTGATCAGCAGAAGGCACAGCAGCCACCAGTGACACAGCCGCCCCCTCAGCAGCAGCAGCAGCAGCAACAGCAACCACCACCACCTCCACAACAGCCACCACCACCACTGCCACAGCCACAGGCAACAGGCAGCCAGCCACCAGCAGGACAGCCTGCTGTCCAGCCCCAGCCCCAGGTCCAGGCCCAGCCACAGCCTGTGCAGGCACAGTCAAAGGGGCAACCTACAATGACGACTGTAGGCAGTGCTGCTGTGCTGGTGAGAGCCTCTAAACCCATAGTCTATGGGCCTCGCTCTGTGAGAACACAGGGTGCTCCCTGGGGAAAGTCTTGTGTTTTCGCCTGACTATGCCATCTCACCTGGTTGGGAGGGTAAAGCCACTCTTTGGTACAAGGATCAGGGCTAAGGAGAACCTGGGTTCTAAAGATGGGTATAGTTGCACATACTTTTAATCCCAGCTTGAGGGGGATTGAAACAGGAAGATGTTGAGTATGAGTCCAGCCTGGATTATGTAGACTATGACAGAGGAGCTTGTTCACTCGTTTCAGGTGGATAGAGCAGTACCTTCTGTGTCAGTGTGCATGCCCTGCCACCACCTAAAGATGTTCCACTTGTGCCCACACACATTCTCAAGCCATAAGCATACAAATATCCAAAGGAAATTCAGAGTTATGGCCCTGAAGGACATATTGTTGACATATATACTTCAATTTTTTGTGGTGTTTGTCACACAGACATTGAAACTACACTCGAAGAGAACGGGCTCTGACAGTCAGACCTTTGCAGTGCACATGAGTGCTGGTTTGGGTGGTTTTCTCAGGGCCCATCCACTTTGTTTTTTGAGATGGTCATTCACCTGGGGCTTGCAGATTTGGATAAGTAGGGTGGCTAGTGGACCACAGGGATCCTTGTCTGCACTTGACCAGTGCAAGGATTACTAGCACACACAACTACTTCCAGGTTTTTACATGAGTGCTAGGAGTCAAACTTAAGTCTTCATACTTGCAAACCAACTGAGATGTCTTCTCAGACCCTGAATCATTACATCAAGCTGTGGTGGGGTTTTGTATGTGGTTGGGCATCATTTTTTCTTCACTGAGATGATACATTTACTAAACACTGTATGGTGTGGGAACTTTCACAGAAAGGCTGATGGGCAGTGTCTCCTGCTCACTGAAGTTTGCCTTCCTATATGGAATGGAGTAATGATCACAGAAAGAAACTGGACAGTTGTTTGTTGGCAGAAAGATTCTTTCTGAAGAGGTGGCATTTGAAAGTTGAGGCCTGAATGACAGGAAGGTATTCATTAGAAGGATGGAAGCGGCTGGCACAGAGGCTTGTGTGTGACATGTGGTGTGTGTGTGTGTGTGTGTGTGTGTGTGTGTGTGTGTGTGTGTGTGTGTGTGTGTGTGTGTTTGTTTTAGGGGGAGACATATAGTCTGGAGGTAATACATGTGGTGAGGGGCAGCATGGGAAGGGAAAACCAATGTGGAAATAGCCCAGGTGCTGAGGAGCAGGCTGGAGTCTGAAGGAAGTCTAGGGAATATGCATTAGCTAATTATAATTGCTTTTGCAGAGTTTGTGCAGCAAAAGGCCTGACCTGAAGTTAATCTGAATTTCTTTTTTTCAATAGGCAGGAACCATTAAGACATCAGTCACTGGAACAAGCATCCCAACAGGTGAGGAGGGTACAAGGGTTTGAAAACGTGAAAATGGAGTTCAGTCTGTCTCCTCTGGCCTCACCCACATCTTGCTTACTAGGCACTGTGAGTGGAAATGTGATTGTGAACACAATAGCGGGTGTCCCTGCTGCTACCTTCCAGTCCATTAACAAGCGTCTGGCATCACCTGTGGCTCCTGGAGCTTTGACTGTGAGTTTTCCCCATGCTCAGAGAGCTTACCATGACTTGTATTTGGGAAGATTATTTGCTTTTTTAATATTCCACAGATGAGAAAAGTAACTGGTCTAGTTTGAATTTCATAAAATAAGTAGCTGATCAGTTTGGGAATCCTCAGGTTTTAGGAAACTGTCCTCTTTTGTATTATTAGGGAAAGGGTGAATTTCCCGATAGGACAAGTTTTCAGAGAGGAGAGAGGTGGTCTATGAAGATAGAGCAGCCAGTCCCCTTGACCCAGGTTCCCCTTACCTGTGCCTCATTGGACCGGTAGGAAGCAGAGGTGAGGTTTTTGCCTTGGTGTAGAGAGCTGTGCTGGAGTGTGGAGCATAGTGCCATATGAAGTGATCAAGCAACTGGCTTCCTGGGGTGAAGGCAAACTGGACACAGAGAGAGCCATCGAAGCATGAAGATAGAGGTCAGCTGGGGGAATATGATCCCCAGGGAGGAAAGGAAATGCCCTCTGTGACATAACACAACGTGATCAGAAGGTTTTCCTAGTGTCGACCACCTGTTTTCCTTTCATAGCTCACAGTCAGAATAAAACACATTGCATTAGAATTGATGTTCTCATACCCAAAGGTAGCCTATCTCCTGTATAAGACGTGACACTTCAAAGCTCTAATGCTGGGGTTTAGAGAATGTCTTTACTAGGAAGATGTGGTTTCTCTGAAAACCTACAGAGGTAGACACACAAATGGATGGAGTTGTGGGGAATACAGAACTACATAGATACACATGCTTGTGTATGTATAATCAGTGGGTTTGTTGAACTTGCCAAGGGAAGCTAGGAGGGAATGGACTGGCCTCACCATGTGGTGCTAGAACAGTTGAGGAGCCATGCACTAAGCAGTTAAACTTGTCGCACAGTTCATACTTTTCTTTTTCTAAGTGTCAGGATTAAAGGCATGCACCACCATGCCCAACTGAATTCACACTTGTTATATGTAACACTGAAACAATGGACTTCTGGAGGGAAACATACTAGGAAATCTTTGCTGCTTTGAGTTTGGGCCACTGTGCCAAGTACTCTGATAACATTCCTGTGTTACCTTTCTAGACATCTGGAGGTTCTGCTCCTGCCCAAGTACTCTGATAACATTCCTGTGTTACCTTTCTAGACATCTGGAGGTTCTGCTCCTGCCCAGGTGGTCCACACCCAGCAACGAGCAGTTGGTTCCCCAGCCACTGCCACCACTGACCTGGTGTCCATGACAACAACTCAGGGTGTTCGAGCAGTCACTTCTGTGACAGCCTCAGCTGTGGTCACTACCAACCTGACTCCAGTGCAGACCCCAACCCGGTCTTTAGTGACCCAAGTGTCCCAAGGTGAGAGGCTTGGTATTTCCCTGAGCCAGTATCTACTGTTAGAACTTCAGCTTGCAGGTATTGTCCGGGAGAGCTGAGGATGCCTAGATCTAACAAGCCAACCTCTTTACAGCCACAGGAGTCCAGCTACCTGGAAAAACCATCACTCCTGCTGCCCACTTTCAGCTTCTTAGGCAGCAGCAACAGCAGCAGCAGCAGCAGCAGCAGCAGCAACAGCAGCAGCAGCAGCAGCAGCAGCAACAGCAGCAGCAGACCTCCCAGGTGCAAGTTCCACAGCTCCAGGGCCAGGCCCAGTCCCCTGCACAGATCAAAGCTGTGGGCAAGTTGGCACCGGTGAGCATATACTTCACCATAACATCACAGGCAGACCTGGTTTGTCTGTAGTTCAGAACCTATTTTACGGAAATGTATTGTCTTTAGGTAGAGAGCCTGCTTTCTTGCATTTACCACAACTTTCTATCTAGTAAGTGTGAATCACGCCTCTGAGAAGCATTAGGAAACCTTAGCTTCCTGCCAGCAGGTGCATCTTCTATGTACTGTATTGCCACAGCTCATTTCCAGAGGACTAAAAAGCCTGTGTGCACCATTCTTGGAGGATATTGTGAAGATGCTCCTCAGAGCTCTTCTTCAGGAGCAGATAGGTCAAAGTATGCTGCTCTTTGTTGCTTGTTTGAAAATTTATGTTCCTAGTTTTGCCAGTCTGTCATTTTGCTGTCTATTGTGCTAATGTATTTAGAAGGAAATGTCCTTGCAACAAATGCAGAATCACAGGTGTGTAGCATCAAAAGGAGACAGAAAAACAGATGCAATGTGAACAGACTGACTGCTAGGTCTGACTTTGTGAGCTGCTGGTCAGAGGCTTGACTCACTAGAGCTGAACTGACCTGAGGCCACCTCTGTGAGGCTTGGGAAGGATCCAGAGATGGATCAGTTTTTCTGTGTTTCTTTTGTGACAGTGTCGGTATTCTCTTGGGACCTCCAGAGTGTGTTTTTGGCCACCTTGTTTTATTTGAGAAGTGGTGGTAAAGTACCTAAGATGAAAACTACTCAGTTGTGTGTGTGGCTACTACACACATGTTTTATTTATTTATTTTATTTTTATTTATTTATTTATTTTTTGGTTTTTTTGAGTCAGGGTTTCTCTGTGGCTTTGGAGGCTGTCCTGGAACTAGCTCTTGTAGACCAGGCTGGTTTCGAACTCACAGAGATCCACCTGCCTCTGCCTCCTGAGTGTGCCACCAACCGCCCGGCTACACACGTTTTAAATCATTCAAAATGCCACAAATTATGACATTCAGCTAGCTCTTCATTCAGCAGTTATGTTTCAGGGTTCCAAAACCATCCCCCAAGGCTGTGGCTGGTGAATTAGACAGCCCTTTTTCTTCCAGTTGACCAGAGTAATTGTTCTCACTACTCTAAGGCCAGCTGGGGAAAATTGTCTGACAGTTCTCCAGTATTTAGACTGCTCCAGTCAGTACTTCTCATCCAGTCCAGCTGCCAGGAGTCCTGCCCACTTTCTTGTTCCTTTATTCTTCTCCCACATTCTTCTAATTCAGTTTCAAAGCCATTGTCACTTCTGATATATCCAGAGAGAGCCAATAGTTATGAACAACTCAAACATTTGTGGGAGGGGGAAAGTCTTTTTTTTTTTTAATGTTTTTTAATTGTTTTTTGATAACTTGGTCTGTTTTTGTTTTTGAGTCAGGTAATATCATGTAGCTGATGTTGGCCTGGAACACCTGGTCCTTCCATTTACTTCCTTTGTGCTAGAATTGCAAACTTAAGCCACCATGCCCAGCTCATCATCTTATCTTCATAGGGTTTATTACCAAGTTATTACTATTGATGGAATTTAGTAACAAAACCATTACTGTTTATTTAAACTGACATTTGAGAGATAAGAACCCGGAAAGCGTGCTCTGAACTTAGTGATCTGTCAGAGTTGCTGTCCCCCATTTCCTTGGTGAAGTGCTGATTTTCATTCAGTACCTAGTTGGTTGTGGGGATGGTTCACATTCTGCATATCAGCTAATGTACATGAATTCTTAGTAGAGATGGAGGGGGGCATATGGTTAGTTCATGCAGAGAACATACCTTATTTGGGTTTCAGGAACATATCATCAAGATGCAGAAACAGAAGATGCAGCTGCCACCACAGCCCCCAACACCGCAAGCCCAGCAAGGTCCCCCACAGCAACCGGCACAAGTGCAAGTGCAGACCCCACAGCCCCCACAACAGCAACAGAGTCCTCAGCTCACCACAGTCACAGCCCCACGGCCTGGGGCTTTACTCACGGGCACCACCGTGGCCAACCTCCAGGTGGCCCGGCTTGTAAGTTCCAGTTCATATTTATTGTCCAAAAGTACCATCTTTGCATTTACCCAACGTTTGTTTTTTTAAATTGTGAGGAGGGGGCGGGGGCACACATGCCCCAGCATGTGTAGTGAGGTTGGACAACTTTATAAGGTGGGGGTTTTGTTGTTTTTTTTTTTTTCTTTATGTGAGTTACAGAGATTAATCTCAGGTTGTTAGGCTTGGCTTGTACAACAGGCACCTTTCCCTGCTGAGCTGTCTTAGACACCATCACTGCATTTCAGTCAGGCTTCTGTTGCTTGCTCAGGAGCATGTTAGGTCTGTGGCAGACTTAGATGTGAAACAGATTTGGTCCTTACAGAGGATAAGATATTAGACTTGTGGCAAGCTGTGCTAGCATTACTTACAGAACCAGTGAAGTGTCACCAGGTCTGTTAGGGACTGAATGGTTTGGGGGTAGCAGAAGGTGAATAGTAAGGGGTAGGCACAGCACACTGGTTGTTCTGTTCTTGGCAGGCAGTGAAAGGGAGGGCAGGGGCAATGTGAGTGTGGCTAGAGCACAGAACACAGTCTAGTATGTTACAGGCACCTCAGGTTCCGTGGCCAGCTCACTTGTGCCCACTTGGCCATAGGGAGAGCCTTTGAAGGTTTGAAGGAAAGAACATAGCAAGATAGTGGTGTCTGAGGAGATGAACACACTAAAGTCAGTGAGGATCTTCTGTGTCGCAGCAGCCAGTGATGGGTGCCCCTTGGAGGGTTTGCCCAATCAGTGCTGCCCTAGGAGCTCTGTACCAGTCTCCTGGTGTTTTGTATCATTAGCTACTTTTTTTTTTTGGTTTTTCGAGACAGGGTTTCTCTGTGTAGCTTTGGAGCCTATCTTGGCATTCGCTCTGGAGACCAGGCTGGCCTCGAACTCACGAGGGGCTGGCCTCGAACTCACAGAGGTCTGCCTCCCTCTGCCTCCCGAGTGCTGGGATTAAAGGTGTGTGCCACCAACGCCCGACATGAGCTACTTTTAACCAGTGAAGGAACCACAGAGCACATGGGTTAATTATCTGTTCGGATCCTTTACTTGGCAAGTATAGCTTGAGCTAGGACTGGGGTCCCAGGTACTTGGGCTTTGTTCTATGTGTAGGTCTTTGTGAGAGGCCCCCTCCACAAAAGAGGGAGTCTGAGGATGATTTATTTAAAAAACTAGTCTATTATGCCTGTGTTTACAAAACTCATAAGTCAGGAGAATGGTGACAGCTAGTAGGTAGGAACTTAATGAGCTGTTGCAGAGTAGATTTTGGTAATTAGGCTACAAACCTTACATACTAGTTAATACAATAGTACTCTTGTCTCCTACAGAAATAGTGGGGCTGTTACAAAGCTTTTGTCAGTGATAATGAGGAGTTGAAATGACTAAAGGTTTTCACTAAATGGATCTAAAAGGTGGGTTAGCAACTGGATTCGTTTATCATGAAGGGGAGTTCTGGTAGTGTGAAAAAAGAGACATGACTGCCCCTATACTCAGGAAGCAGAGAGACAAATGCTGATGCTCATCAGGCTTTGCTACTCCTTTTAACCTGCTCTTCAGTCTGGGCGCCCAGTCCACAGTCAGGGTGGGTTTTCCCCTCGGCTCTATAATCTCCTTCCAGATTTTCACAGAGGGTTGTCTCCTGGGCAACCAATCAGATTGACAATGAAGGTTAACCTTTCATCAAGCACTTTGAAAGTGACTGTTGTAAAGGGAAGAGGCTATAAAAAAAAAAAAAAATGCAGGTGACTCGTTGTACTACTGCATTTTTACACAGATGGAAGAGATGCCTAACAGGTTGAAAGTCAGTTTCAGTCCCCCGTCTGTGGGCACTTTGGGACTGTGGGTAGCTCTTACTTTCTTAAGGTTTACGTGTGTGTTTGGATAATCTCTATATATACAAAACTTGACTCATTTCCATTTGCTTTTGTAAAATGTAATTTAGAGAGATAAATGCTTGCTGGCAGTGTAGAAAATTTGTAGGATCAGGTAGCCTTGGGGGTGTTTTCAGATAGGTACTTATGGCAGTGATCTTGGAGAGAGGGTGGTGGAAGCCAGAGGATGGAGAGTAAGTGGCATAGAACCAGGAGAAGAGATGAGTGTTTGGAATCTTATGAACATCAGAACATGGCATCACGGCAGACAAGTCCAAAAGTCTTGTACAGATTCCGTCCCCATGTGTCTGCAAAAGTGACAATGACAAGTAAGTCCCTGGGTTGGCCTCATGATTCTAGATTTTCCACTTAGTCTGTGTAAATTCTCTTGACCTCTGGTCATAAAATGTTTGTTTTTAAAAAAAAAAAAAAAACAAAACAAAAAAAAACAAAATAGGAAAGACAAGGACGCAATGTCTGAATTTCTCTGGATTCTCCTGTTATTTTCACTGTTTAGACCCGGGTCCCTACTTCTCAGCTGCAGGCACAAGGGCAGATGCAAACTCAGACGCCCCAACCTGCTCAGGTGGCCTTGGCAAAGCCTCCAGTGGTGTCTGTCCCAGCAGCTGTGGTCTCCTCGCCAGGGGTCACGACCCTGCCTATGAATGTTGCAGGGATCAGCGTGGCAATTGGACAGCCACAAAAAACAGCAGGTACCTTCCTGCCGCTTCTTCTTGCAGCATGCCTTTCCCAGATGGACATGTGGTACACAGGGAGCCTTTTCTGGTGGAAGTGGTCACTGCCTTGCTCTGTCCTAACTCCTGCTTCACTTATGTTGTCCTCTAGTGCTTAATGTAAATTCTCTTATTTTGGCCCTCAGTTAACCATTAACATTCTGACATTTCCCATGTTTGTTATTTATGAAATAGAAACATAATATGTGGTGGTGGTGGTGGTGGTGGTGGTGGTGGTGGTGGTGGTGGTGGTGGTGGTGGTGGTGGTGGTGGTGGTGGTGGTGGTGGTGGTGGTGGTGGTGGTGGTGGTGGTGGTGGTGGTGGTGGTGGTGGTGGTGGTGGTGGTGGTGGTGGTGGTGGTGGTGGTGGTGGTGGTGGTGGTGGTGGTGGTGGTGGTGGTGGTGGTGGTGGTGGTGGTGGTGGTGGTGGTGGTGGTGGTGGTGGTGGTGGTGATGATGACAGGACTGGAGGTGCATGCTTTCAATCCCAGCACTTGGGAGGCAGAGTTAGGCAAATCTCTGAGTTCAAGAACAGCCAGGGCTACATAGAGAAACTCTGCCAATAAATAAATAAATAAATAAATAAATAAATAAATAAATAAATGAGAAAAAGAAACACAGTGTCTATTTAGTGCCTGATTATTTTGCCTTAGGACAGTTCTAGGATCTATTCTTTTCTGAACAGAACCTAGATAAGCAGGGAGCCCTGGCCAGGAGCTAACTGACTTGGTGTTCTCATAGGGCAAACTGTCGTGGCCCAACCTGTACATGTTCAACAACTGCTGAAGCTCAAGCAGCAGGCAGTGCAGCAGCAAAAGGCCATCCAGCCACAAGTTGCCCAGGGCCAGGCTGCTGTCCAGCAGAAGGTATGGGTTCCTTGTGTGAGGTTTCACTTCAGTGTAGCTTTTTGCTGGGGAGGAGGGTCCAGAGTAAATGGGCTGTATTAGGCTACAAGCCTCACAGGGGTGTGTGCTTCAGGGTTGGGGTGTTAGTGTGGTCAGTGTCCCTTGTTTTCCTTTCTTTTTGATATGAATGCTTAGGTAGGGTGGGTAGTCACAAGCTGGATGCTAGGGATGGACTTATCAGACTGGAAGGGGCCCAAAAAGATTAGAAAATCAGGAACAGTTCATCATGTGGACTGTGGGTTCAGAGCAGGGCACACTGCCTCTGTGCAGGGCAAAGCCAGTATCTTGGGATGCTCTTGACCATAATGTCTAGAAGGTGCTGTGACTGGGTCAAATGGTGAAGGCTCTTGGCAGCTGCTGAGGGTTTGAGTAGGGAACCTGATCTTCACCTGGGTCTGATCCTCTGTTGTCTTTTCTTCAGCTAACCACCCAACAGATCACTGCTCAGGGCCCACAGCAGAAGGTTTCATATGCTGCCCAACCAGCCCTTAAAACCCAGTTTCTAACCACACCCATCTCCCAAGCCCAGAAACTGGCTGGGACTCAGCAGGTGCAGACGCAAATCCAGGTAAGCATGCTACTGTATGCAACTCATTGCAGATGGCAGGGTCTGTGGGGAAGTAATGAGAGTTCCTGAGTCCTATAGGCTGAGGAAGAGTACCAGCACCCAGCCAGCCAGTGTAGCTATCACTGCCTGACCTTTTCTGTAAGGCCCTTTCTGGGTGGTAGGCATGGAGCCTTCTAGAACATTGGGAAGTCTCGAGAATGAGGTCTCAGACTCATGCTGTTGTATACCAACTCTGTGTGTGTGGGCGTGCATGGGCACGGTCCCTGAGCAGTCCTGGCCACTGTGTCCACAGATGTACAGATGGCATTGCCTGGCTCTGGGTTGGTGCGGTTCCATTTGGATTCCAGAGAGGCTAAGCCTTTAATACTGTACTTGCAAGTTTGGCATTTGAGCTCCATATCTGGTGGGTGGGAACAAGAGAAACTTTTGTTACTTTGTTAGCTTGTGTTTTGGGTAATTGATGAGATTTCATCTTTTTCTGGTTTGACTTTCAAGTCTCCTCTGACATACCTGTCAAATTGTCTGCCAGGTTAGTTTTTACAGTCTAGATATAAGTTGCTGTGGTAACATTTGTGTATGGCTTCTCTTCCCACTTACAGTATCTTTAGATGAGCCATTGGAATATCCAGTCTCTTTCTGGCTAAAGTCTTGCTTAAGAAAACTAGCCTGGAAGCTAGAGAGGTGGGTTGGCAGTAGTTAAGCTCTTGCAGAGGACCCAAGTTCAGCTCCCAATAACCACATTGGGTGACACATGATTGCCTGTAACTCCAGCTTCAGGGGACCCAGTGCCTTCTTTCTTGCCTCTATAGTGCCTGCAGTCAATATGCCTTGATGAAATATGCATATGTGGATGCCTGTTATTTTCAAGGCTGCTTATTAAAAATGTCTATCCTACCCTCCACTTCATCCTGTGGGTTCCATCACGCCCTGACTAGTGCTTATTGCCTGTGTCACTCTGTGGCAGGCATGTTCTTCTGCTCTGTCACTTATGACTATCCTAACTGTTTTTGGCTATCTGCACTTTAAAGTTAATGATTTTGGAGTCAGTTTGTTAGAACTGCATGGATTCAGTAGTAAAAGAGTTGTAGTCTATGATCTTAGCTTCTAATTTACCAGGATAGTACATCTGTTACATATGTCTAAAGGGCCTTATAAATTGTGTTTGATGTATTTATTGTGGTATTGGGGATTAAACCTAGAACCTTATGTAAGTATGCTCTGCTGCAGAGCACAAAAACAAAAAAACTAATTTAGAAACTGTTTTGCTGAGTTGCTAGACAGTTTTGAACTCCTTTTGTAGCCCAAGTAGACCATGAACTTACGAGCTTCCTACCTCAGCCTCCCAAGTAGCTAGGATTATAGGCAGCTGTGAACTTCTATGTAGGTGCTGGGACTCAAAGCCAGGACCTAGATAAGCTCTCAGCTGCTGAGCCATGTCTCCAGTCCTCTTCTGCTATTTTGCAAATAGTCTGTATTTTTTTTCTTTTTTGAAACCCTGATATATTTAGACTTTATTATTTAGGTAAACATTTTAAATGCTGTTCTACAATAATTTAAATATGGGCTTGGTGTGGTGGTACACACTTTTAATCCCAGCACTTGGGAGGCAGGTGAATCTCTGAATTCAAAGCTACTCTGGTTTGCACAGTTTGTTCCAGGACAGCCAAGGCTAAAGAGAGAGAGAGAGAGAGACCCTGTCTCTGGAAATAATAAGTATGTCTGTATAGATAATGGGATTCTTGTATACAATCTTGTTCTCTTACTTAAAACTAAGCCTCTGTGGTACTTAGGTCATAAAAGCTGTATTTATATCATTTTCATATTTTCAGTGCATAATACTTTTAAGAAAATTTCTTCATGCAATGTATTTTGATCGTATTCTTTACCCTATCACAACACCTCCCAGATCCCTAGACAGAAAGCCAGCTTCAGGCATATGTTCTCTCTCTCAAAACAAAACAAAAAACCAACCATGGAATCCATTTGGTCAACTATTCCTGGTCATGGGGTCTGCCCTGGAGTATGTATAGTGTACTCTCAGTGACACCGCATTGAAGAACCAGGATATTTTTCTTTCCCAGCAAATAGCTTCTTGGTTAGGGATAGGATTTTGTCAACTTCTCCTGTGTTTACATTCCTATCTTCTGGCTTTCACTGTTAAAATTTTTTAAAATTAATTTGTGTAAGTGTTTCCACATACTCTTGAATTCCAGACTCATGATCCTTGTTTCCACAGGTTTTAGGGTCTCCTCTGTGCATGCTTCAGGTTACAGAAATCTGACTATAAAACAGTCAGCTAGTTTGAGGGGAGGTTTTCACTATTTCTCAGGCTGGTCTTGAACATGCTGTGTAGCCCGCTCTGACCTCAAACTCACCATCCTTCTGTTCAGCTTCCAGAGTGCTGGGGGTTGTGCATGTGGACTGCCATACACCACAGACTGTGTGGAAGTTTTGTAGCTTGTGTGATTCTGAGAATTCAGCCTAGGGCTTCATGATTGTTACATGAGAGTTTCATTACTGAGCTACAGCTTCAGTGTAGCAAGATATTTCTGCAACAAAATATCTGCAGGAAGTGAACATAAGGTAGAAAGTTTTGCTTTATATATGTGAGCTCTCAATTATGATGGATGAAACCACTGGGAATTGTTGGTATCTGTCCTGGTGAGACCTCCTGGTCCACTGAGCTTGCCTGTCCAGTCCTCTTGAGTCATTAATGGATTACTTCTGCTAGTGAGTCTGTTGCTCCTCTCCTCAATCCTCCTAGGATCCTGGTGGGTATACTTGAGGTTGTTTCTCCATGTTACTTGCCACTATTTGTTTGCTTAAAAACAGGTAAAAGATGTCTGTTTATGTATTTTGAATCCTCTGCTTCCCTTGTTTTGTCAAAGGTTGCAAAACTTCCTCAAGTTGTGCAGCAGCAAACACCTGTGGCCAGCATCCAACAGGTTGCATCAGCTTCGCAGCAGGTAGAGTACAAGGAGAGGACCAGGGGATGGGGCACAGTTTGTTTCAGAAGCAGAATACTAGTGACGAGAGAGTTACTTTTAGTTTTCATAATGCACACGAAAAACATGAGCTTTCAGGGAAAATGACCAGCTGACTAGGGGGATTTTTTAGGGAAGGGCCAGACTTGTGCCCCAACCTGCTGTCAGCAGACGTCTTTGTTATGTTGCACAAGACAAGACTACAGTTTCTGGGGAGTGTAGGCAGCATGGGATCCAGATGGAGGCAAGCTGACTTCTGTTTTTACCTATGGTGCAGTACTATTTGGTGACATGTTTTTCACTTTAAGCTTTCTGTGAACTTGAAGAAACCAGTTACCCTTACATTGGTCCACATCCTTTGCCGTTTTACTGAGGCCACTGGGTATATGTGTCAGAGGGACAGGCTTGACAGGGGTGTTCTCTGATGACCTATGTTCTTTCATCCTGGCTCAGGCTTCTCCACAGACAGTGACACTCACACAGGCAACAGCAGCAGGACAACAGGTGCAGATGATCCCAACCGTGACTGCAACAGCCCAGGTGGTGCAGCAGAAGCTCATCCAGCAGCAGGTGGTAACCACAGCCTCTGCCTCACTGCAGACCCCTGGTGGTCCAAGCCCAGCACAGCTTCCAGCCAGCTCTGACAGTCCAAGCCAGCAGCCAAAGTTACAGATGCGAGTGCCTGCTGTGAGGCTGAAGACACCCACCAAGCCTCCGTGCCAGTAGGAAGGAAACTGGTTGGTACTATGACAAGGCTGTTTTAGCAGAATGTTGTACTGTTTTTGGACTCTGCTGCCTAGGTTGGCCAAAGTTGCTTGACTTTCTCCTGTGTGTATGGGACTAGCTGAAAAAGCGACAGTTGCAGTTTTTAATATTTGGGGAGTGCCCACATCAGTCTTTTAAAAGCCCTTTAGAGTTTCTTTCGTAGTGCACACTACTTAGTACGTGGTAGGGGCAGCATGTCTTACATCAGGCTCTAGCTCAGACATGGTCTTTGGTGCCATTGTCCAGGGAGATGCACCATAAGCTTTCAGCAGGAAAGATGACAGCAGACCATCAGAGCCTCCCTCTGGTCCTCTTACCCTTTTCAGTAGGTCACAAGATCTGGCTTGCATCATGAACACCCATCTTGCCCCAGTGAGCAATGGCTCTCCTTTGACTGACATCTCTGTATAGCCAAGTTTGTGTTTTAGATACACTGTACTGTACTGTGATCTTTTACAGTATTCTTGTGGCTCTCAGGTGCTGTACACATGTATATGGCAGGTGAGGCAGCCTGGTGTAGTTGGTACCAAGGTTACTGTTCCCTTACTGTTGTTCTGGTCTAGTCTGGAAAGCTTAGTATTCTTAGGAAGGCATCTGTTGTGCCACCCCTCAGCAGCTCTTTATGGATTTTAAATGTCTTGACTAAGCAACAACTGGTATCCCTGTTGTGCCTGGTATGGCTGTTGCAGTGACAGGCCTTCAGTTAAAGGAGAGAGTTACAATGGAGTTAGTCCTATGTTCACTCTTCTTACCACTGTAAGGTGACTTGTGTGGCATTCATGGGCATAACAGGCTGACGTGCCTTCTTACCTGCCAGAGTGTAAGGTCCATGTTCCACATCAGTGCCTGTTTTATGGCCTGAAGTTACTGTAGCCTTGAAGACAGTTGTTTGTTTGAGTATTCTTCCCTGTCATGTCCATCCCACTTTTTCTGTGCAGTGTGGGCAGGAATATGACAATACATCCTGAAGCCCACCTAGAACTCACTTTTGAGGTCTTAATGTGAAACTTGGGGTGAAAGTAGCAATTAGGTGTTGAAAAACCAGAAGAGGTTTAATAATTTCCTGACCTATAAACCTGTCCTGTATGTGGTCTTCAAGCAACAATGTGGTCGTTTTGGCTCGGTGTATGCTATCGGGGGAAGAGCCTTTAGAGGTTCCTAGCTCCCAGCAGCAGTTCCCGTTTCCCATAGTCCTCAGACAGAACTGAGTTCAGTGGGGTCCTCTATCAACGTCACACTCACCTTTCTCCACCCTTCCCATTGAAGTATGTGGCAGCATACTTCAGTGTGCCCAAGCCAAGTGGTTGGTGGGAGTGAGGGGCAAGGTCTTTATTTTTGGCAGTTAACTTTCATTCATTTTTCAACCAGATGAGGTTTTTGTGTTTTGTTTTTTTTTTTTTTTAATGTAAGAAACAGGACTGAAATTGTAAATACTTTGTAAACACAAGCATTTGTACTTGAATAGGATTTTAAAAGGACACCGATGTCCTACCAAGCAAAGGCTAATAAAAGTGACCTTTCTACACCCTTCTTGTTCTGTCTTTCATAAACCAGTGTTTGAGCTAAGGATGTGTGGCTTTGTTGTTTTCCATTTGCAAGGTGAGAAAATTCTAGTGTTGGCACTAAAGGCTTTCTGTGCATATATTGCTCCAAAGCTGTAGTCCCAGTAGCTGCTGCTACCTCCTTTCAGCCTTCTAAGTGACCAGGTGACCTGGTCTTTACCCCAGAATATAGCCATATAAAAATCCTCTCCAAGGCACCTTCCATTATGACACCAGAGAAACCATGTTGGATTGTCCTGCAAAAAATCAGCCCTCATACCTCTTCCTTTCTTAAAGGTCTTAAGGGTTCACCTCATACCCAGCCAGCCTCATGCATGCAGATCCCCAGGTGGCCCTCTGCCTACCCAGTCCCATGATCTCCACCACCTTCACCAGATATGATTCTATACAGACCCAGATAAGCCTTAATGACTCGGGCACAACAGGTGCTGATCTTGTGTGGCGACAGGATAATAGATGTGGTCATTTCTAACACTGTGTACCCATAAAAATGGCTGGCCCTCAAGCACACCCCTAATCCCCAACAGAGAAGCAAAGGTAGATCAAACTCTAGCCAGTGTTTTCACAGAGGGAGAATGGAAAAAAAGGACTCATTTTCCACTCACCTGCCTATCAGTCACCCCACCCACTGCATATCTCTAAGACTGTGTAGTGTCTGACCCCAAACCCATTCAGCCTGCCTACCTGTCTATCAAGTCATCCTACCCACCCTTATATGGAGTTTAACCTAGAATTCCAGATAGACAACCCCAGGCCAGTCTACCACACACACTACACAGCAAGACACCATTTAGATCACAGTGTCCTTATCCCAAGTGAGGACCTTCAGTTTGGCCACCACTCCACTCACCTTCACTTTAGGATGGTGTGGCATCCTGCATCCCACCTTGAGAGCACTGCCTATTTCCACTGTGACTCAAGCCCCTGCTACCCATGGACCACCTATAGAACACAGTGAGGCCCCTGCAAACTTCTGAAAACTGGCCCAGAGGTTGCACTTAACCTCTCAATTCCTGATGACTAGGTTCCCATCACAAAACAAACACTATGTATCTAACATTCTACCCCAACAGTATAAAGAATACTATGGAACTTTCTCTAAAGAACTATATATTAGTATACAAAGCACGTCTCAGCCCTGCATTCCATGTGGCTACAAAGGAACAACAAAAAGCACAAAAACTGTATGGAAGCTAAACACACTACTGGACGAAAATCTGGTCAAGGGAAAATCAAGAGGGCAATTAATGCTGGGCGTTGGTGCACGCCTTTAATCCCAGCACTCGGGAGGCAGAGGCAGGTGGATCTCTGAGTTCGAGACCAGCCTGGTCTACAAGAGCTAGTTCCAGGACAGTCTCCAAAGCCACAGAGAAACCCTGTCTCGGACCCCCGCCCCCACCCCAAGAAAAAAAAAATCATAAATGTGCACTACCTGGGTCAGGACATGGAAGAGGACGTAACTTAAAATTACAGCTGAGGTTGATTACTACACTATTAAAGGCAGGTTAAACAGCTTGACACACAGTAGGAGAGCAGTCATAAGTGAACATAGACTAACTTTGCTACTGATAACTTAATACTTTTGAAAAAACTATACTGGAAACTTTCTATAGACATTTTCATATATACACACCTTATATTGGGGTTCAGGGTGCACAATATTCCAATCATAACACATGTTAGCAAATTTTTTTTAGGTTTATTATGTATACAGCGTCTGTCTATATGCCCGCAGGCCAGAAGAGGGCGCCAGATCTCATTACAGATGGTTGTGAGCCACCATGTGGTTGCTGGGATTTGAACTCAGGTCCTCTGGAAGAAGAGCCAACCTCTGAGCCATCTCTCCAACCCCATATGTTAGCAAATAAACCCCAAAGCAGGAATGGGTTACCCTTTTGAGTTGTTGGCCAATTGGGTCCGACTGACCCCCAAACATTGCAGACTTTACCAATGTTATTTTGTTTCCCTTCAGAACAGAATTTAGATACTCAACCTGGATGCTTCTTCCCTACTGGCTAGCTTGCTGGAGGAGAAAATTACCCCTCCCCCCAATCCTGTGAAGTACAGTGACTAGCCTGACAGATATGTCCACTTGTGGCACAAGTGTTACAGAAGCAAGCAACTACTTAAAAAAAAAAAGACAGGGTTTCTTTGTAGCCCTGGCTGTCCTGGAACTCACTTCTGTATACCAAACTGGCCCCAAACTCAGAGATCCACCTATACATGCCTAAGTACTGGGATTAAAGGTGTGTTCCACCAGGCCAGGCAACAACTGCTTAATATTTTTTTTCTTCCCCTTTCAGTTCGAATCATAAAGGCTGCTTGCAGTAGATAGCAGCTGCTCAACAAAGCAAGAGACTGTGTGTAGTTGAGCCTAAAAGGAACATCTCATACCTTTCTCTCCAAGGCTCAGGGATCTTCAAGGAAGAGGGTGCAGAAAAAAATTTAAGAGCCAAAGGTGGTACATAACTTCAAGGAGAACTGTCTTCCACACACAACAGGGCAGTAAGGCATATGAACTCAAATGCTGTGACAGCATGCATAAGACCTAGGTAAGCTCAAGTCAGACAAAACCCTACTACTGGCTGAGGAGGAGATACTGGCATTTCATTGCTGCTGAGAGCCAGTTTTCTTTGGTCTTGGACCCCTCGTAGGCACCACACTCAACAGTAAACAATACAAATCAATCCAATAGGTTTAAAAACAATAACAAAAAACCTCAGAGTTAGGTGGGTGGGGAGGGGAAGAGTGGAAGAGGGTGTATCTGGGAGAAAATGCAGGAGGCGAGAGAGTATGATCAGATTTCACTGTTTTGGTCTGTGAAAATCCTAGCTCTAGTAACTCACTTTAGGACTAGCTTCATTCATGGTGATGGCAGCCTTTAATCCCACCACTCAAGAGGCAGAGGCAGTCAATCTTTTGAGTTCTAGACTGTCTACATGGCAAGTTCCAGGACTGCCAGGTTACATGGAAGAAACCCTGCCTTTAAAAAAAAAAAAAAAAGATGGGGGAGGAGGGGGGGTTGTGGCCAAAACATAAAAAGATATAAAATAGATGACCAACTATGTCTAAAACCAACTGTGATTATCCTGTGATAGATCAGTGGCTGTATTTATCCATAAAGGCTGTGGTTTAAGAGGCACAAGGATAGGCCAGAGACATGGCTCAACATTTAAGGGCACTGGTTGCTGTTCCAGAATATACAGGTTCAATTCCCAGCACCCACATAGTAGCTCAAAATTATCTGGAACTCAGTCCCAGGGGATCTGATTCCCTTTTCTGGCTTCCATAGTGTAACACACACAGCACAGAAAAACATGCAGACAAAATAAATTGAAAAATACAGAATAACACAGGCTAGTCTTTCATCTCAGTACAGGAAAGTCCTCAGTGGGCACCCACCCACACAGCAAGAGGCTAGGATCAGATACAACTTCCACAGAACCAGGGCCAGTTTCCAGGCTAGAGTGGAGAAAGCCGTACACTACTAGTCAGGAAAACATAGGCTCCATAATTACTCCAGTTGTTTCAGGTTGTGTTCTATTGTGGGACAGGGAATTGTTGAGCCACTGCTCAGGGCTAAGTAGCATTTGCTCTGCAGGGTTAATGCTGTCTGAGATGAACCCATGTTTACTTTCAGTACTTCTGAAATTATTCCCAATTTCAAACTCTTCTAACAAAAATGTGTCAGATGCCTCTGCAGGTCCTGTACCTCTTACTAGCTTTGTTCCTAGTATTAGGTTCTAGCTAAGATTTTGTTAGAGAACAGGCATTTCTAGTTAGACTATGACCTTCAGGCACTTTAAATATCAGTTTGACCTTATTAAAGTTATTGAAAGTCAGGTGAATACCCACCCAGCTAGCTATCACTCCTGGCCTGGGCTGCTTTCTAGGGCTGGCCTAGGAGTCCGAGTTAGAGGGATAGTTAAGTGTTCCCGTGTTGAAGCCGGAATTTTTTTTCTTTTTTAAAGATTTATTTATTATGTATATAGTGTTCTGTCTGTATGTATGCCTGCAGGCCAGAAGAGGGCACAAGATCTCATTAGAGATGGTTGTGAGCCACCATGTGGTTGCTGGGAATTGAACTCAGGACCCCTGGAAGAGCAGTCAGTGCTCTTAACCTCTGAGTCATCTCTCCAGCCCCCAAAGCCGGAATATGAATGGGTTCAAGTGATCCGTTTATTTTTTCACAACATAAATGAAAAGTTTATCTTGTTAGATTTTTTTTCCTCAAAAAAGAGGCCTTCTTATAAGCACAGGTAAGTGCTAAATCTCCTTGATTATGTTCAGGCAAGGACTCTCCCACCATTTAAGTTTACTTTATACTGGGTGGTGGCTAATTATAAAGTACTATCTTGAAGACTAGTAGCCATGGAAACATTTTCAAGGCTGCCACCGACCTATTCATGGACTCTAATATTAGACTCGTCTGGGACAGGCTCACACCATAGTCTCTCTGTAGACATAAGATGCTAATATTAGAGCACTTTAACCTGTAGTCACTGTAAGGCTGACCACAGTTTCTCATCACACTCCTGCAGGCACCCTTCAGCTTGACCTGAGCTTATTTCCAAAGACCAACTGGATCCCAGCAGTACAAACCAAAGGGCCATTACTTTTCAGGACTAAGCCACCACCTTGGCTGCATGCCCCAGGATGACCATGGTGCTTGAGGGGAAGGGTTGTTCCCATTGGAACCCTAAGGAACTGTGTCTTCTGCTTATACACAGGCCCTTGTTCCCATCTAGGCTGTCTTCAGCTTTTGCTCTTCCTGTGGAGAAAACAGAGCTTTGAATTGCTGCATCCTTACCTGTTATCTGTAGGTCCCTTGCCTTATAATTGGGAGACTATGGGTGCCATGGTCAGGAGGCCTCTCCCAGGGCATGGGGCTGCTTCCTGCTTGCCTCCCTTTCCTAGAGCATGTGATGATACTACCAGAGCAGAGGCTGGACTTGCAGAAGCCC